ATCCATGACCAGCTAAAGTGGCTAAAGGTTCACACTCAGAAGGTTACGATAGAGAATGACTGGTTTGAAGATATATTTAGGAGGTTATTCGGCAATATCGGAGGTTGGTTTATGGGACTGATCAGAGAAGGTTTACGCATCTTGCTAATAATCATACTAATCATAATTGCCGCGAAAATAATCTTTAGTTGCTTAACCAGAAAGCTTGAACAGCTATCGGAGAAGGTTTTTCTGATCCAAAATAAAAACGGGGGAATTGTAGAGGAATGGCTTGAGGGTAGAGGTCACATAAACATTGAGCAATTAGATGAGGGCGATCTTGCCAAATACCGCACACCGCTAGTATAAGATTAGGCTAACCGTAAAACATAAGGCTTGCAGCTGACAGCTGTAAAAGGGATAGAAGAACAGTGTCCTTGGAGCAAGGAATACAGTGTCCTTGGGGCTATAGTTAGCTCTAAAAAGAGAACTTGTGGTTATAGCTGTCTGCACTAACAGGATATAGCAATAATCAATCATGAGCTTAGCTTTTGTAACATGTATGAGCTAATTATCTTGTACCGAATATATATCGACTGAGCTATCTAGTAAAGTTGAAGCATACTGATCACTCATATTGAGTGCTTGTGTCTTCCTTCCGTCGACAACACCTAAGCTCTACATCTAAACGTCTTTTGAAGACTTCCAGGGATGGTGACTCCACCACCTCCCTGGGCAGCCCGTTCCAGTGCCTAACAACCCTTTCAGTAAAGAAATTCTTCCTAACATCTAACCTAAAACTCCCCTGGCGCAACTTTAGCCCATTCCCCCTCGTCCTGTCACCAGGCACATGGGAGAACAGACCAACCCCCACCTCACTACAGCCTCCTTTAAGGTATCTGTAGAGAGTGATAAGGTCGCCCCTGAGCCTCCTCTTCTCCAGGCTGAACAAGCCCAGCTCCCTCAGCCGCTCCTCATAGGACTCAGAGCCGAGTACAGGGGGACGATCACCTCCCTAGCCCTGCTGGTCACAGTGTTTCTGATACAAGCCAGGATGCCGTTGGCCTTCTTGGCCACCTGAGCACACTGCTGGCTCATATTCAGCCGACTGTCCACCATCACTCCCAGGTCCTTCTCTGCCTGGCAGCTCTCCAACCACTCGTCTCCCAGCCTGTAGCTCTGCTTGGGGTTATTGTGCCCCAGGTGCAGGACCCGGCACTTGGCCTTGTTGAACTTCATGCAATTGACCTCAGCCCATCGGTGCAGCCTATCCAGATCCTCCTGCAGAGCCTTCCTACCCTCGAGCAGATCGACCCACGTACCTAACTTGGTGTCATCTGCGAACTTACTGAGGGTGCACTCAATGTCGTCATCCAGATCATTGATGAAGATGTTAAAGAGGACCGGCCCCAGCACCGAGCCCTGGGGGACGCCACTAGTGACTGGCCTCCAACTGGACTTGGCTCCATTTACCATAACTCTTTGGGCCCGGCTATCCAGCCAGTTTCTAACCCAACGAAGCGTGCACCAGTCCAAGCCAAGAGCAGCCAGTTTCTTGAGGAGAATGCTGTGGGAGACGGTGTCAAAAGCCTTGCTGAAGTCAAGGTAGACCACATCCACAGCCTTTCCCTCGTCTACCCAGCGCGTCACTTTGTCGTAGAAGAAGATCAGGTTCGTCAAGCAGGATCTGCCTTCCATAAACCCATGCTGACTGGGCCTGATCGCCTGCTTGCCCTTCAAGTGCCGCATGATGACTCCCAAGAGGATCTGCTCCATGAGCTTCCCTGGTACTGAGGTCAAACTGACCGGCCTGTAGTTCCCTGGGTCAGCCCTCCGGCCCTTCTTGTAGATGGGCGTCACGTTTGCTAGCCGCCAGTCAGTTGGGACCTCCCCCGATAGCCAGGACTGCAGATAAATGATGGATAGGGGCTTGGCCAGCTCCTCTGCCAGTTCTCTCAGTACCCTTGGGTGGATCCCATCCGGCCCCATCGACTTGTGCACATCCAAGTGCCGTACCAGGTCACCAACCAGTTCTTCGTGGATGGTGAGGGCCACATCCTGCTCCCCATCCCCTTCCACCAGCTCAGGGTACTGGGTATCCAGAGAACAACCGGTATTGCCGCTAAAGACTGAGGCAGAGAAGGCATTGAGCACCTCCGCCTTTTCCTCATCTCTTGTAACTAAGTTTCCCCCCGCATCCAGTAAAGGATGGAGATTCTCCCTAGTCCTCCTTTTTGTGTTGATGTATTTATAAAAGCATTTTTTGTTATCTTTAACAGCAGTAGCCAGATTGAGCTCCAGATGAGCTTTGGCCTTCCTAATTTTGTCCCTGCACAGCCTCGCTACATCCTTATAGTCCTCCCTAGTGGCCTGCCCACTTTTCCAAAGATTATAAACCCTCTTTTTTCTCCTAAGCTCAAGCCACAGTTCTCTGTTGAGCCAGGCTGGTCTTCTTCCCCGCTGGCTCATCTTTGGGTGCATGGGAACAGACGGCTCCTGCGCCATTAGGATTTGCCTCTTGAAGAGCGCCCAGCCTTCCTGGACCCCTCTGCCCTTCAGAACCGCCTCCCAAGGGATTCCACCAACTAGTGTCCTGCCCTCCGAAAGTCAGCCCTCCGAAAGTCCAATACAGTGGTTTTACTGGTTCCCTTCCTGGCCTCACCAAGAATAGTGAACTCCACCATTTCGTGGTCACTCTGCCCAAGACAGCTCCCGACAATCACATCCTCCACCAGTCCTTCTCTGTTTGTGAAGAGAAGGTCTAGCGGGGCACCACCCCTGGTAGGTTCACTAATCAGCTGCGTCAGGAAGCTATCTTCCACTTTCTCCAGAAACCTCCTAGACTGCTTTCTCTGGGCTGTGTTGTGCTTCCAGGATATGTCAGGGAAGTTGAAGTCCCCCACGAGTACAAGTGCTGAAGATTTCGCAACTTCTGTCAGCTGCCTGTAGAACTCCTCATCCGTCTCCTCATCCTGGTTCGGCGGTCTATAGCAGACCCTGACCAGGACACTAGCCTTGTTGTCCCTGCCGATCCTAACCCAAAGGGACTCGATCTTGCCATTCCTAGCCTCGAGTTCTACAACATCGAAAGACTCTCCAATATAGAGAGCCACACCGCCACCCCTTCTGTGCTGCCTGTCCCTTCTGAAGAGCCTATAGCCAGGCATCGCAGCACTCCAGTCATGAGACTGGTCCCACCACGTTTCCGTGATGGCAACCAAGTCGTAGCCTGCCCGCTGCACGATGGCTTCCAGCTCCTCCTGTTTGTTACCCATGCTGCGTGCATTGGTGTAGATGCACTTCAGCTGGGCCTTTACCTTATCCTCCGGCCTTGCCATTGCTCCCCCTGGCACAGCCCCAACAATCCTTGCTTCAGCCCCATCCCCCTTCTTATCTAGTTTAAAGCCCTCTCAATGAGCCCCGCCAGCTCCTGGCCAAGGATCCTTTTTCCCCTAAAGGATAGGGACCCGTCTACGGCCATCAGACCAGGTGCTGAGTAAACTGCCCCATGGTCGAAAAACCCAAGATTTCTGCGTAGGCACCAGCCCCGGAGCCACGCATTTAACAGGTGGGCTTTCCTTGTCCTCTCCGTACCCCTCCCTGTCAACGTAGGGATATGCATTGGTGATATCAGTTTTGGCTCTCCAGTTGATGAATTAGCTTATGGATGGTGATGATCAGGTAGTCTCAGTTGGTGCGTTATTGCCGCCAGTGCCCAGTTGTGGTAGCAATTGGCACTTGTTGTTCTTTGCCCTTCAGCAGCCCACAACAGAAGGGTCCTCCGAGAGACCGGGCAAGGTAGACAATTGTTTAATGTCCGCTGTCTCTAAGGCAGCTATGCCAAAAGCCCAGCAGAACCCTTTTGGGTCCCTGAAAAATCCTCTCCTGAGATAGTCTATGCCAAGGATGCATGGAGCATCCGGGCAAGTCACAACATGGTGCTTTTGCCACTCATTCCCAGTCAGACTCACTTCAGCCTCCAATACAGTTAACTGCTGGGATACCCCCATCAACCCATAAATACAGATGTGTTCTAGCCCTTCAGGGCCTGATGGCATTACAGTACACTGTGCACCGGTGTCTACTAAAGCTTCATACTTCTGTGCATCTGATGTGCCAGGCCATCGAATCCACACAGTCCAATAAACTCCATTGTCCCTTTCCTCCCCCTGGCTGGAGGCAGGTCCCCCCTAGTACTTCATACAGCTGGATGAGGGTATCGAGTACACCCTCAATAAGTTTGCAGATGACACCAAGTTAGGTGTGTGTGTCAATCTGCTCGAGGGTAGGAAGTCTCTGCAGGAGGATCTGGATAGGCTGCACCGATGGGCTGAGGTCAACTGCATGAAGCTCAACAAGGCCAAGTGCTGGGTCCTGCACCTGGGGCGCAATAACCCCAAGCAGAGCTACAGGCTGGGAGACGAGTGGTTGGAGAGCTGCCAGGCAGAGAAGGACCTGGGAGTGATGGTGGATAGTCGGCTGAATATGAGCCAGCAGTGTGCTCAGGTGGCCAAGAAGGCCAACGGCATCCTGGCTTGTATAAGAAGCAGTGTGACCAGCAGGGCTAGGGAAGTGATTGTTCCCCTGTACTCGGCTCTGGTGAGGCCGCACCTCGAGTACTATGTTCAGTTTTGGGTCCCTCACTACAAGAAGGACATGGAGGTGCTTGAGCAAGTCCAGAGAAGGGTGACGAAGCTGGTGAGGGGCCTGGAGAACAAGTCCTACGAGGAGCGGCTGAGGGAGCTGGGCTTGTTCAGCCTGGAGAAGAGGAGGCTCAGGGGCAACCTTATCGCTCTCTACAGGTACCTCAAAGGAGGCTGTAGTGAGGTAGGGGTTGGTCTGTTCTCCCACGTGCCTGGTGACAGGACAAGGGGGAATGGGCTTAAGTTGCGCCAGGGGAGTTTTAGATTGGATCTTAGGAAGAACTTCTTTACTGAAAGGGTTGTTAGGCATTGGAACAGGCTGCCCAGGGAAGTGGTTGAGTCCCCATCCCTGGAGGTCTTTAAAAGACATTTAGATGTAGAGCTTAGGGATATGGTTTAGTGGAGGACTTTTAGGGTTAGGTCAGAGGTTGGACTCAATGATCTTGAGGTCTCTTTCAACCTAGAAATTCCTGTGATTCTGTGGTTCTGTGAGAGTATCTGTTTATGCCAAGTGCTTTCAAGCACTCCAGAAGGAACCTTTCTCTTCTCTCAGGGGACCATGTGCGCACTCTTCCCCTTTGAGCTCTACCAGGAATCTTCTCTCCAAGAGAAAAACCTGCCCTTTCTGAGCCTTGTTTTCCTTCGTGAAGGATGAGGGCTCCTGCAAAGCCCGCTGCCCTGGAAGTGTTCTTGCCCTTAGCTTCAGAGGCTGTGGGCTGAGGCCTTTCATGCTGCCTTTCTGAGAGAAAGCAGGCTGCAGGGAAACTGCCCTGAGCCTGGGGAAACCCTGAGGGGACGACTGCCCCACTGCCATGGGACAGCTCCCACATTAGCACCTCCACCTGAAAACGTTCCTTGTTTCTGCTTTCCTGTAGCAGAAGACGCAGATGGAAATGCAGAGGCTGCAGACAGAGAGTGCATCCTCCATGGCACTTGTGGAACTGAAAAAGTCTCTGCAGATGGTACCAGTGGACATGAATCAGCAGCATGTCCTCATCCCTCACTCCCCCGAGAAGGCTGTAGCAGCTCCATGTGCAAATCAAGTGCCAGGTAAGTGTGGGCCAGCTCCCACAAAGGCTGGGAAAAGCTGAGCTGCAGCAGGCTGCCCGAGGGATCCAGCATGCGGGTTGCTCAGCTCTGGGCTTTGTCCCTGACCTAGCTGCCTCGGGGAGGCAATGACCATGCAGAGGCCCTGCCTCCAGGCTTCCCTCTGCAGATCCACAATCCTAAAGCTCCCCTGCAGCTGACAGTCACGCATCCACAACGGAAGGAGGCTGTGCTCCCAGCTCCTGGGACTGGGGGAAGGCAGAGTAAAGAGCCTTTTCCCAGGTGAGGCTGAGAGGGAGCTGGAGGATGCAGCCCCTGGGCTCTTGTCCGTGAGTCAGCGAGCAGCTTTCTTTGGGCACAGAGTCTGGGTGAACTCCACAGGTGTTCTGACACAGGTCCATCTCATGCCTTGTTCCTTGCTGGGTGTCTGGTTAATAAGCAACAGCTTTTGCCACCAAATCCTCCACTTGTGTGCTTGCAGATTGCAAAACAGTGTGTTAGTGATTGCCTTCTGCTCTTGGCAGCTGGCACAGCTGCAGGTGTAGGGCAGCAGCAGGGCATCAGATGCTGTGGCATCAGTGACACACCATGATTGTGCTGCACCAGCCTCTTGGAGCTCTGCCTTTTAGGCATTTCCTTCTTTCCACAGGAGCCATCAGCCAGCCAGCTCTTTCACAGTGCTGGTGGACCCAACAGATGCCCATACGTGACTGCCCTCCTCTGCAGGCCAGTCTTAGTTACTCAGAAGCTCCTTGCTGCTTTTCCCTTAGGTGTACCTTCAGTTGGTGTCCTGAATTATGCCTGCCTGTCCTTGGACACCAGGACATGCTCCTCCGCAAGAGCAAAGTCCAAGCACAGTTTTCCACAGCCTGGAAAAACCATGGGCTGGGGGAATGGCTCTTCCCTTCCCAGCCCACAGCAAACCCCTCTCGGATGGCACCAAGACCAGCGCTCTACAGCATTGAAAGCGGTGCCCTGGAGTCACACTGCCTTAGTTTTGCTTCCATGATTGGGCTCCACATACCTCATGGAGGAGTTGCAGGGGAAGCTCCCCTCTGTGTTGCAGAGCACACACTTGTCCCTCAGGACACCTCAGAGACCATGCGTGATGTGGCCAGTACGCATATGGAACCTACACTAATGATTCTTCGGAGACCTGATGAACATACAAGAGACTTACAGGAAATTAATTGAATATGTATTTGTCCCACTACTATAAGCATGCTGCCAGTAACTGTTGGTGTGCAAGTGAGGTGGAGCTATCCCCCTTGCATCTGGCGTGTGTGCACAGCACCGAATAAACATACCTACTTTACAACTTTACAGGTTGTGGAGTCTGTTTTCTGCAAGTCAGTTTGTCAAGCCAGCCAGGAGACACTCTGCTCGGCTGCGGGATCGGACGCCCCTAGGAGCGCCCTGGGTATTTTCCTCAGAGGAGCCTCCGCTCCCAGCCGCTCCCTGTGGGAGCAGACCATGACCTCCTGAAGCTGCAGACAAGCGGTATGTTTAACAAAGGGGGCCAGTAAGTCATAGGGGGCACCTGCTCTTGGCCGGGGCCACCAATAAACCTTGCTGAGATGTCTGGCGTACGGCATAGTCCCTGTAAGGGAGGAGGGTACCCTACAGGCTGATCGACAGAATGGTCAGAGGGGATTTGCTGACCGATAGGGTGGCCGCTAGCAATCTTGGGAGCAGACTGAGCAAATCCAAGGTCACCGCTGCGTCCTAGTATTGGGAGCCAGGATGTACCTGCTAATGACTGTAGAAGAAGCAGGAGAAGGGTAAGCGGGCCTCTCCCAGTTGTGACAAGGTTACCTGGGTGAATTTTGCAGCTGCTGGAGGGATATGAACTGGAGTGGTAATACTGTATGTCTTATTTGTAAATGTCTGGTGACTGAGTCCCAAATAGGACTGCAATTAAAGTTTACAATTTATTAAAAGAACAGAGGCAAGCAAACAGCGCTGGGTGCGCCAGGAGTCTCTGCTCCAGCAAGACGCACACCAGTTACATCAAGCAGCTGATTTTTATGCTACCAGGCTAATACATATTCATTACTACTTCTAGAAAAAAAAGGGTTATTATAATTAGTTTCCGGAATCCAAGCCCTCCTACTGGAGCATGTGTATCAGTCTCCAGTGGTGTCTCTGGGGGTCTCTGGGGGTCTCTCGTGCTGAAGGCTCTTAGTCTTCCTCCCAGGGTTTTTTTCTTGTCCTTCTCCTTTGTCCATCTTGGCCGGATGTCAGACTTGCGCAGCGTCCCATGCAAACTTTGTCTTTTAGTTGTCCTTTGGCTTTCCCCTTCTCCTTAATCTCTTGGCCAGATATCAGAGACTTGTGTAGTATCCTAAGCAACAGTCATCATAGTTAGCAGTTATTCTGAAACCCCTTTGTTCTCTTATCCCCTATTGACACGAATTGCTGGACCGTTCCTTTGCAAGATACAAGATCTATATACATTAACCACTCTGTTCTTCTTAGACTTGTGGTTATACAAGGGTATGTAAGACAGAAGGTCACATTCATCATACCATGCGGCCCTAGCATTTTTCCATATTGACACAAATCTGATGAACACATTTCTCAGGTGTGGAAAGAAAATTCTAGAATTTGCTTTTATTTTTTTAAATCTTGAAAAGAAATAAGAAAGAAGCAATGTACTGTCTACAGTGCAGAAGCAGCACCACGAGAAAGAGAAGAGGCTTCTCCCTTGGATGTAGGCCCTGTGTGGGATGCCAAATAAGCCATTCTCTCTGAAGCAGCAGCTTCAGCGTCCTCCTCACAGGCCTCTCCTGAGGAAGTGTGCAGCTCATCCATATTCTCTCTGTCACAGGGTGCCTCCTCCCAGAGCAAAGACTGTAGACTGTACTTCCTCAGCCTCTTCCTTGGCTGGAGGCCCTGTGGGGGAGCCCAGCAAAGCCCCTCTCACTGCAGAAGCAGCACCATAAGAAGGAGAAATGGCTTCTCTCTCGGCTGGAGACTCTGTGTGGGATGTCAATCCTCACCACCCTCTTTGTGAAGAATTTTTGTGGCCACCAAGGAGCAGCTCTGACTAGCCTTGTCGTATTCTCTTTACAGGGATGCCTCCTGCTATTAAGAGCCGGCTGCTCACACACCAGAGTCTCTCTCCAGCCAGACTCTCCAGGGTGACAGGGGAGGCACAGCTGGGCCAGGCTGCTGGGGAAAAAGAGCCTTCTCCCAAATGAGGCTGGGGGGGGAAAGCCATAGAAGGCAGCCTTTTACTTTATAAATAATTTTACTTTATAAATAATTTGTATACTTTTGCTTTCCTCAAAGCGGACGGTTGTTCATACATTAATAGCATTTGAGTTGAGGTTCCAAATTCTAAGCAAAATATTGTTAGGGTACATTCTGTATGGATTAGGAGCCTGTGGAATACGGAGAGGCAGTGTCACAACAGTGACTCGGGATGTGTGACAGAAGAGGGACCATGGACCCAAGAGCAGATTTACAAAGGTTCTACTGAAGTTTGTTTCACGATCGTGTGACCCCTCTGCCATTAGGGAAGTGAGAGGTCACCATTAAAATATTCAGCAGTTCATATAAAATTTGCAACAAAATGCTGTGTGAACATACACAGTCACATTGTTACAGCAGTCCTGACTCCACCAATCGTCTTCCTCATTTCCATGCAACGCGGTGCTTTGGACTGAGGCCTCGGGTAGACACCAGTCCTTCATTTATGTCTCCCTGAGAGCTTGCTCTTCTCCAGAGTTAAGCTTTCTCAAAACAGGATTTTTGGTGTTTTGTCACCTAATCTGCTTGTTGCTCCTAGCATGTCCTGCAAAAGTTCTCAGGCGGGTATGTACAGCTTTTGCTAAGACCATACTGGGTGTGCCAGTTCTGCAGGCTCCACCAAGTGCCATCACTCCACGTTGTGGTCTGTGGCAGTTAACAAGCTACCTAAAGAGTCTGAGCCTGGTGTGGGCACTTGGCCTCATTAACATAGAAAGAACTGTCTGGAGCCCATTTTTCACGAGAATACACACCTGGCTATGTAACATTACATTTTCCTCACCACTTTCCTTTATTTCATTTGTTTTATTTATAGTGGGTAGCTGCAACCACTTGGAAGAAAAAGCAGAAGAGGAGAGAGAAATGCTGCCCAAATCTTTGCAGTGTGATCAGTGTTAATAAAGCTTCTGACTGACCTCTTTTAAAATGCACTTGCGTTATTACACATTTGGAGTCACAGTATTCCCCAACACTCTAGTGCAGTCTTTGGCCATCCACCCACTGGCTGCTTCAGAGAAGGAATGAAAACGAAGAGGCTCTAACTCCAGTGGTCACCCTGCTGGCTAAAAAATCACCAGAGCTGAGGGTCACGCACAGAAAGTGGAAGGGGACGGTGCTCCCTGCACCTATAGCTGGATGACGTGGGAAGGTTCAGCCCAAGGAAAAGTCCTGGACAGTGCTGAGAGAAGTTGCAGCCTCCTTTCCTGCTCCTGGGGCAAGGCCTGGGGCCAGCACCCTGCAGTGACCCTCACAGCCTGCGGACTGCTCTGCCCGAATCTCCAGGGTGCAGCAGTCTCCTTGGGGAGGCAGCTCCCTGACAGGGCAGGCTGCAGCCCCTGTTGTGACACGCGATGAGGCAACAGCGGGGCCGTCTGTGACATCACACCACGTCCTGCTCAAAAGCCCTGTGCGCCGCGACCTGCCCTCACTTGGCTGCGAGGCCTTCAGGAGGCAGTGGCTGGTGCTGCTCTGCTGGTGCTGCCGCTGTGATCTTGAGGAGCTGCCTTGCAGAAAGGAGCCAAAGGCACTGGGAAGCAGCGTCCCCGCGTGGGACAATTCCTGCTGACGAGTGGAGGAGGCCCGGAGCGAGATGGAGGCCAGGAGTGCTCCCATCCTGTGCAACGGCCGCCTCATGTGTCCAACACTCATGCACCTCCAGGACGATGGTGAGCCCAACAGGAGGTGCCTGAGGAACAGGCAGCAGCGCAGCCCACTTGAGCTGCAGTTTCTTGTGGGGAGAGAGAGGGAGGGTCTGGGGACATAGACACTGGCCCCATTGGCCACGAGGACTGTGCTGGACGAGAAAGCTGGCTTGCAGTATGACGTCTCTTGCCCTTGCTTTTCAGAGATTGTGAAAGTTTGGGATGCAGTATCCCACTTCATCCGCAGGCAGTTTGCGCTGAACAAGGTGAGCTTGGCAGCCTCATCCTGCCCTCTTACTCTGCTCTTTCCCACAGCCCGCCTCCTCAAGCATCAGAAACACCCCAGCGGTGGCCTGCAAACTGCAGAGGTGTCAGGGGCCCCTTGCTGCTCTGGCAATATGCACAAAAGAAGAGCCCAGCTCCAGCAGAAGGACGGGGTCCATTCTGCCTGGTGCTTGTGTGTTGCCCGTGGCCAGAGTGGGCAGGCCAGCATGTCGCTGGTGCTGGCACTCAAGGCTTTCCCTGCTTGTTGGGAAAATCCGTGACATTGAGGCCATCTCCAGGGTTCTGCAGAGTGACACTGCCTGGCACCTTCTCGTGAGCAGTGGCCAAGGCATGAGGGCCCATCTTCTTGCTTGGAGAAGCCCCAGAAATACTGACCCGTGTTCCTGATTTCTTGCTTTTCAGGGTGTCACAGTACCTGGGCTGGGCACCTTCTTTGCTGTTAAACAGGACCGGCCCATGGCAGGCGTTAAGCTCCTTGATGCAAAGAAGCCCGTCTTCCAGGTTTCGGAGCACTTTGCCAATGTTCATGGGCTCCCTTACAAGAAAGAAACTTTTCCTGGTAAGAAGAGAGATGATTGTCTGGGCTCCCACGCGCGGGGACTTTGGGCTGCATGCTCAGCTGCTGCTGGGAGGGCAGTGGAGGGGTTCCACAGCTCCTCCAGGAGGTCCAGAGAAAGGCCTGAGCTCCTCTCAAGCCAAGGCCCATCAATGCCTTGCACGTCCCTCCAGACACCAGCTCCCAGAAACGTCCCTCCCCATCCTGTTGGCACCCTGATGGCTGCGTTGGTGGTTGACTTCTGCTCTAAGCAGTTCGGACAACAGCAGGTGCAGGCTGACACTGGGCATCAGCTTCTATGGCATCAGCGATGCCCCACGACTGTGCTGCCCCAGGCTCTTGGAGCTCTGTCTTTCAGGGATTCTCTTCCTCCAGACGAGCAGTCAGCAAGACAGCTCTGTAGCAGTGCTGGAGGGCCCAGAAGCTACCCAAATGGGACTGCCCTCCTCTGCAGGCCTGTCTTAGTTATTTTCTCCTTGCTTCCTCTCCCTCAGGAATACCTCCATTTGTTTTCCTGAATTATGCCTGGCTGTCCTTGGACATCGGCATTCCTCGGGACACCGTGCAGCGCTGCATTCAGGAGACCCTGCTCTTTCTCTCCTACAGCCTTGCAAAGAAGCAGGCTGTGGATTTCATCTTCAAGGACATCGGCCGTCTGGTCTTCCGCAAGAGCAGAGTCCAAATGCACTTTTCCTCCGACTTTGTTCACAACCTGAATAGCAACGGCCAGCTGTTGAAATGCCGCCTCACTGTAAGTTTCTCACTGCACCAGCACAGCCCAGGGCTCCTGGGAAATGCCCCGAGAGGCCGTTGGGAGGGACTTCTCCTTCTGGGTCAGACGCGTCTCCTGATGAGGCACAGGAGTCTGGCCCCTGCACAAAGCCAGGCAGTGATTTGCCGGGTGCAGGCACTTGCTGGGCAGCTTGTGCTGCTCGTAAAGGAGGGGTGAACACTAAGGCCCTGCAAACTCTGCCTGCGGGCTGCTTTCTGCCTGAGCAGCCGCGATGCCTTCGTTGGCAAGGGCATCCCTTCCTGGCCATGGTCTCACCCACGACTGTCTCTCCTGCAGAGGTTAAGCACAACGGATTTGGCCACATCGGAGAGAAAAAGCATGGTCCCACACCCAGCTTCTCGAGGTGTCATCATCTTTCCCAGGTGGGTGCATTGCTTCTGCAGCCCTCGGCTGAGAGTTTTGGCAGCTTTTCAGCTCCTCTCCGGAAGGTCAGCAGTGCCAGGGCTTGCCCAGTGCTCATGGAGGAGCTGGAGGGAGACTTCTCCAAGCACTGTTTCCTCCTCCACTCCACACCGATTCTTGCTTGTTTTGGACGAGGGGTCATTCTCTTTGTGTAGCTAGGGCTGGGGGAATGTCTATTGCCTGCCCAGCCCACAGCAAGCCCCTCTCAGACGCTGGCACCAAGACTAGCACCCTACAGCCCTAGAATATGGTGCCCTGGAGTCACACTGCCTTGGTCTTTCTTCCAGGATTGGGCTCTACATATCTCGGGGAAGAGCTGCAGGGGAAGGGTCTCTCCAAGCACCCAAGGGTTCTGCTTTGGAGAAGAAGGGAGACGCAAGTGTGGAGGGAGAGTCTACCAGAAGAGGTAATGTGAGAGCGGGCTCTTGGGAGTGACAGCCCCTGGGAGACCTCTCTGCCCTTCCCTTCTGAATGTCCTCCTGAGGGCAAGGGGTACAGAGGCGAGGCTGGAAGGCTGCGCTTTGCACAGGATGTGGCCCCTGCTCTGACCCCAGTTCCCTGCGGCAGTAGCTCTGCTGGGCCTTCGTAGGAACCAGAATGGCAGGGCAGCCCAGAGCTTCCCGTAGCATTCGACAGTGCTCAGGCCTCTTCCACGCTGGCCTCCTGGAGCTCCTGTCTACTGAAAGCCCCACTCTGGATGAGATGTGTCCAAAGGTAGAATGTGGGGTACAGTGGCAGCAGGGAGTCCCAGGACTCCCATCCCCACCTGAGCAGTTGCGAGCCCAATAAAGACTGTTACTTCCTGCTGGAGGGACCAGCACGGGCTTCGTAGTGTGCCGATTTCACAGAACACAGAATGGTTTTAGGATGGGAGCTACCTGAAGACGTCAGCTTGGCCAAACCCCTGCTCAAACTGGGCAACCCAGCACCAGTGTCCAAGGAGCATGTCCTGTGCAGATGACTCCCATCCCCACCCGTGAAATGCCAGTGGCCAAGGAGACTCCCTTCTAGGCCAACCCATCTCCCAGCTTGCTCTGCCTTTTACAAGTAGCACAGGATCCAGCAGGGAGGCTCATTCCCTGCCTCTTTGTGTGGCCACCAAGGAGCAGCACTGACGAGCCTTCTCGTTTCCTCCTTACAGGGATGCCTCCTATTAAGAGCCAGCTGCTTACACCCAAGAGTCTCTCTCTATCCAGACTCTCCAAGATGAAAGGGGAGGCATATCTGGGCCAGGCTGCAGGGGAAAAAGTGCCTTCACCCAGGTAAGGCTTGGGGGGAACTGGAGGAGGCAGCCCCTGGGCTCTTCTCCTTGAGTCATTGAGCGGCTTTCCTTGGCTCAGGGACTTAGTGAACTTTACAGAGGTCCCAACACATGTCCCACCAACTGCTGTTTCCTCGCTGGGCACCTGGTTGTTGAGCAAAATCTCTAGCAGCAAATCCTCCTCTTGTGTGCTTGCAGAATGCCAACAGCAAGTCAGGAGAGCAACTCAAAGATGGCAGAAGAGGGGAAGGGCAAGCACTGTGCTGCAGCCTGGCCCCAAAATCAAGCCCCTGCCTGTGAAGGTCAACGGAGAGCAGGACAGGTAGCCACTGGATCTGTGTGCCCATTGCCGGGTTGTTTCACGGGTTGCCTTTGTGGAGATTTGATGTTTCTCTGATCGTTGCATGCCCTTCTCTCCTGTAGGAAATACGCTGCCTGTACCGCCAAGAAGATGAGAAAACTCTGCAGGCATTGTTGGTTGAGGAGCAGCTGAAGAAAGAATGGGAGAGACAGAACATGTGGGCACAGTGCAAGGCTCGTGGCAAAACGAACGGGGGAGAGAGTATCTGGGTATGCCAAGTGCTTTCAAGCACTCCAGAAAGAACCTTTCTCTTCTCTCAGGGGGCCATGTGAACACTCTTCCCCTCTTAGCTCTGCAAGGAAGCTTCTCTCCAAGAGAAAAATCTGCCCTTTCTGAGCCTTGTTTTATATTTTGAAGGGCGAGGGCTCCTCCAAAGCCCACTGCAGTGAAAGTGTTCTTGCCCTTAGCTTCAGAGGCCGAGGGCTGGGGCCTTTCATGCTGCCTTTCTGAGAGAAAGCAGGCTGCAGGGAAACTGCCCTGAGCCTGGGGAAACCCTGAGGGGACGACTGCCCCACTGCCATGGGACATCTCCCACGTTAGCACCCCCATCTAAAAATGTTCCTTCTTTCTTCTTCCCCTGTAGCAGAAGACGCAGATGGAAATGCAGAGGCTGCAGACAGAGAGTGCATCCTCCATGGCACTTGTGGAATGGAAAAAGTCTCTGCAGATGGTGCCAGTGGACATGAAACAGCAGCATGTCCTCGTCCCTCACCCGCCGGAGAAGAAGGCTGAGGCAGCTCCTCTGAGCAAACCAAGTGCCAGGTAAGTGTGGGCCAGCTTCCAAAAAAGGCCAGGAAAAGCTGAGCTGCAGCAGGCTGCCCGAGGGATCCAGCATGCGGGTTGCTCAGCTCTGGGCTTTGGCTCTCCATCCCCTGGCTGCCTCGCGGAGGGAATGACCATGGAGAGGCCCTGCCTCCAGCTGTCCCCCTGCAGACCCAAAGTCCTAAAGCTCCCCTGCAGCTGACAGTGACGCACCCACAATGGAAGGAGGCTGTGCTCCCTGCTTTTGGGCAGCCAGAGGTGGGGACCTTCAGAGCCCACCTGAGAGTTTATTTTCTCTGTTGCTGCAGCTGCCTTTCAGTGCGGACTGAGCGCATCAGGAAACAGCTGGTGAAGAGAAAAGAGGTCCTGCAGAAAGACAAGACCAAGAGCAGAGTTGTCCACATCCCTGGAAATTCTGCAGAGGATCTTCTGATTTGGTAAAGCCTCTCCTGCAACAGCCTTCATTCCACTAGCAACAGTCCCTTCCTTGGGCAATGAGTCCCCTGGGCTCACGAGAACCCTTGCCCTGGCCTTCTGTAGCTGCTTGGCCAAAGGTCTCCAGCCCGGTCTCACACAGCGCCTCGGCCTGGCGCTGCGTAGATTCCCTGTCACTGGCTGGGACTCGAGGGGCCCCCGCAAGGCCACACAGAGCCTTGGGACTCCTGCATATGCACTCTGCACAGGACTGGGGCTGAAGGGAGCAGGGAGTGTCACTCCGCTGCCCTCACTGGAACAGAAACTTGAACCCTTTCTTTTTCTCTCCCTAGCGTTGGTGAGAAAATCCCTGTGCTTCCAATGCCAAAGATGACACGAGCATCAGGGAAACCAGCGAGGACCCCTCAGCAGCTGTGAGCAGCTGCGAGCCCAATAAAGTCTTTTGCTTCCTGCTGGAAGGACCAGCACGGGCTTTGTAGTGTTCTGATTTCACAGAAACACAGAATGGTTGAGGTTGGAAGGTACCTGAAGAGGTCAGCTTGGCCAACCCCCTGCTCAAACATTGCTACCCAGCACCAGTGTCCAAGGAGCATGTCCTGTGGAGATGGCTTTCAAGTGTCTCCCCTTGAGGAGGGAGACTCTACAGCCTCACTGGAGAACCCGTGAGAGGACTCGCTCACCCACACACTACAGAAATGGATCCTGAGGTTCAGATGGAAGCCACTGTGTTTGCTTCTGTGCCCATCGCCTCCTGTCCTGTCATTGGGCTCCACTGAAATGAGCCTGGCTCCATTGCCTTTGCACCCTGCCCGCAGGCATGCAGTTATCCACTGATCCCCCCCTGAGCTTTCTCTTCTCCAGGCTAAACAGTCCCATCTCTCCCAGCCTCTCTTCATAGGAGAGATGCTCTGTTCCCTCAATAATCCACCTCACAATTTTTGTGGGACTGTTAAACAGTTCAAGTAGCACCACTCGTGGCCTGCCAAGACAGCCACGAAGGCCTCCTAGCTGAGGCTGCTGATTCTCCCTTGCTGAAAGCCAGGTGCCCTTAGGATCCAGCATCAGATCCTGCCTGTGCCTGGAGAGCTGGGAAGAGCTGGGAGCTCTTGATCCTTCCAGGGTGGAACTTCCAAGGTAACGGCTCACTGCAACCTTCCCTTTGGTCCCAGGAAATAAAAAAAAAAAAGCATCAAGCACCTGCCCTCACTCCTCACTCAGCCCAGAATTAGCAACAAGTCTTCCTTCCCTGCTGGTACTGCTGCCAAGGGAGCTTTGGAGTTAAGAGCCTCTTTTTGGGAAACGGCTTTTCCATGACCTCTTGGGTCTGCACATTGCCAAAAAACAGAGAGAGAGAGAGAGTTTGAAACTTGGGAGAAAGGAAGGAAAGCCAGCAGGGCCAAACACTATCCCAGGGACTTTAAATCTGCACAGCACAAAACTGAAGGACAAGTTGATTTTTTTTGTCACATCACTCATACAAGAAAGTGAAGAGCTCTCTTTCTCTCACATGCTCTCACAATTTTCATTCTCTCCTCCTAAAACTTTCGGGGACTTTGATCCCTCATCAGGCAGCCTCGATGCAAGTTGCTGTCAATTCCACTTGGGTGGAATACCTCTTGCTGAATTGCTGCCTTTGGCCTTAGAGATCCCAATCTATAGGCATCCTTTGAACTGATTTCCTCAAATCCCTTTTAAGCACATCATCCTGAAGTCTACTGAACCCGGCCCATGTAATCTGCTACGTCACATAATGCTGAAAGCTTGTGACCGAGTGAGGGTGCCACGGAGAAAACCTCCGTGTTGTGGGGCACACGCTCGTCCCTCACAGACCACGTGCGACGTGGCCATCTGACACATGGAGACACTGAGGGAGGGTGTCAGGCACAAGCTCTATATTAAACACTCGTGAAGCATTCCTTCTTCCTTATTCCCTTTCGAGATTTCATGAATAAACAAATGGCAGTTCTAGCATTTCCTTCCCACACCCAAATGGATCACCTTGCACACCCCCTGGGGCACTCTCGAGGATTGTATGGGACTGAAAGGAGAGAGTTTCCTTCTCAGTGCTGGCATGCTCGGCTCAGCTGTGGCCCTACAGGAAAGGGGATCTACAGGAAAGTGCTCCCTGAGTGCAGGCAGAGAGAGAGAAAAGCTGCTCCCTGACAGGGCGGCTCCAGCCCCACGCTCTGACAGCCCTGGCAGCCATTTGGCAGTTCTGCCTGCCCCCCGCGCCACAAGCTGGCTGAGGCCTTGGGCTGTCCCCAGCACGGCTGTCAGTGGTGTCGGGCGGCATCTAGAGCCAAGAGGCCTTTCTTCTTCTTTGTGCTGAAGGAAACTTTGTGCTGTCTGGAGCGAGCAGTGCCGCTTTTCTCCGCATTCCGGGGCTGTCATGGTAAGTGACATGGCCTCTCACTTTGAGGGCCCTGTTTTTCGTCAGCATTTGTGAGGGGCTTCTGCATGCCCCCCCGCTCACTTGTTGCGGCCAGGGCTTCCCCCCAGGATGTCTGGGCAAGGCCCATGCCGCTGGGCAGGCTCTGGGTGGGCCTCGTCCCCTGCAGGGGCAGGCGTCTGCCGCTGAGCCCAGAGCCCAGGAGCGGCTCCTGCACTCGCGGCTGCCCCTGCGCGGGCTGCTGCCGCTGCTTCTGGAACCTTCCTGCAGCCTCTGGCAGCTGGCGCCTGCTTGGCGGCCGCACGTTGGGCTTGTCAGCGTGGGATGAGCGGGCCGTGCCAGCCCGCAGCGTGGCATTGGCGGCCTTGTTGCCATCCCCAGGGCACGGCTGAAGGGGATATTGTGGGTTTGATTTGCAAGGACGGGGAGAATTTGGGATGCAGTATCCCACTTCATGCGCAGGCAGTTCGCACTGAACAAGGTGGGCTTTGCAGCCTCATGCTGCCCTCTTACTCCTGCTCTTTCCCAGAGCTGCCACCCCACAGAACACACTTGTGGACCTGAAATCGAAGTCTCTGCAGATGGCAGCAGTGCCTATGAAGCAGCAGCATGTCCTCATCCCTCACCCCCCAGAGGAGAACACTGAGGCAGATCCTGTGAGGAAATCAATGCCAAGCAAGTGTGGGCCAGCTCCCACAAAGGCCAGGGAAAGCTGAGCTGCATCAGGCTGCCCGAGGGATCCAGCATGCGGGTCGCTCAGCTCTGGGCTTTGGCTCTCCATCCCCTGGCTGCTTCGGGGTCAGGCAATGACCATGGAGATGCCCTGCCTCCAGCTGTCCCCCTGCAGACCCAAAGTCCTGAAGCTCCCCTGCAGCTGACAGTCACACACCTCGTGTGGAAGGGAGCTGTGCCCACTTGTCCTGGGACCAGGGGAGGCCGAGTTGGCGTGTTAGGAAACAGCTGGGGAAGAGGAAGGAGGCCCTGCAGGAAGGCAGGACCAAGAGCAGAGCTGTGGACAGCCCCGGGAAGACTGTGGAGGAGCTCCCGCTCTGGTAGTCCTCTGCTGCAACAGCCTTCTTTCCACAGCCCCTTGTTCAGTGAGGCCTCTGGGCTCTCACTGGCACCCTTCTCCCTGAAGGGAGCAGGGAGTGTCACTCAGCTCTCCTCACTGGAGCAGAATCTTGAACCTTTCCAGAGAATCACAGAATGGCTTGGGTTGCAATTGATGTTAAAGATCTTCTATTCCCTCCCGCCCCTTGCCATGGGCAGGGATGCCATTCACTAGAGCAAGTAGCCCAGTGCCTCATCCAAACAGGTCTTGAAGACCTCCAGGGATGGGGCATCCACGGCTTCTCTGGGCAAGCTGTTCCAGTGCCTCACCACCCTCTGTGTGAAGAAGTTTTGTGGTCACCAAGGAGCAGCTCTGACTAGCCTTCTCTTTTCCTCCTGTCAGGGATGCCTCCTGCTATTAAGAGCCAGCTGCTCACACCCCAGAGTCGCTCTCCAGCCAGACTCCAGGGCGACAGGGGAGGCACAGCTGGGCCAGGCTGCTGGGGAAAAAGAGCCTTCTCCCAAATGAGGCTGGGGGAAAGCCATAGAAGGCATCCCCAGAGCTCTTCCCCTTGAGTCATCGAGAAGCTTTCCTTGCACGCAGGGACTTGGTGAACTCCACAATGGGCCTGACGCATGTCCCACTGACGGCAGTTTCCTGCCTGGGCACCCAGCAGGTGAGCAAAATCTCTTGCAGCAAATCCTCCTCTGTAAGGTAGCCGGTGTGGTCCGCCTACCTGGGTTGTTAGAAGGGAAATGCTTCTGGAGATGTGACATTTTGACAATTATTGTGCCTTCTTCAGTGCCTTCTTCATGATTAAAGAGGAGCTCCCCATGGTGGGCTTTGAGCTCCTTGATGTACAGAAGCCCATCTTCCAGGTTTCAGAGACCTTTGCCAGTATTCATGGGCTCCCTTACAAGAAAGAAACTTTTCCGGGTAAGAAGAGAGATGAATGTCAGAGCTCCAATGTGCAAGGATGTGGGCTGCATGCTCAGCTGCTGCTGGGAAGGCAGTGCAGGGGTTACACAGCTCCTCCAGGAGATCCAGAGAAAAGCCTGAGTACCTCAGAAGCCAAAACCTGCCAATGCTTTGCACCTTCTGGCAGGCAGCAGCTGCCGGAAATGTCCCTCTCCATGCTGTTGGCACCCTGATGGCTGCGTTGGTGGTTGACTTCTCCTCTTGGCATCTGGCACAGCTGCAGGTGCAGAGCAGCAGCAGGGCATCAGTGCTGGAGAGCCCAGCAGCTACGCAAATGTGACTGCCCTCCTCTGCAGGCCTGTGTAGTTACTTTGCTCCTTGCTTCTTTTCTGTAAGGTGTAATTCGATTTGTTTTCCTGAATTATGCCTGGCTGTCCTTGGACACAAGGGCACATTGCAGTGCTGCATTGGGAGGGGCCTTGTCCTTCTGGGTCAGACGCGTCTCCTGATGAGGCACAGGAGTCTGGCCCCTGCACAAAGCCAGGCAGTGATTTGCCGGGTGCAGGCACTTGCTGGGCAGCTTGTGCTGCTCGTAAAGGAGGGGTGAACACTAATGCCTGCAAACTCTGCCTGCGGGCTGCTTTCTGCCTGAGCAGCCGCGATGCCTCCGTTGGCAAGGGCATCCCTTCCTGGCCATGGTCTCAGCCACGACTGTCTCTCCTGCAGAGGCTAGGCACAACAGATTTGGCCACATGGGAGAGAAAAAGCATAGTCCCACATCCAGCTTCTCGAGGTGTCCTCATCTTTTCCACGTGGGCGCGTTGCTTCTGCAGCCCTCGGCTGAGCGTTTTGGCAGCTTTTCAGCTCCTCTCCGGAAGGTCAGCAGTGCCAGGGCTTGCCCAGTGCTCAGGGAGGAGCTGGAGGGAGACTTCTCCAAGCACTGTTTCCTCCTCCACTCCACACCGATTCTTGCTTGTTTTGGACGAGGGGTCATTCTCTTTGTGTAGCTAGGGCTGGGGGAATGTCTGTTGCCTGCCCAGCCCACAGCAAGCCCCTCTCGGATGCTGGCACCAAGACCAGCACCCTACAGCCCTAGGATGTGGTGCTCTGGAGTCACACTGCCTTGGTCTTTCTTCCAGGATTGGGCTCTACATACCTCATGGAAGAGCTGCAGGGAGAAGAGCCTCTCCAAGCACCCAAGGGTTTTGCTTTGGAAAAGAAGGGAGACACAACGATGGAGGGAGAGTCTACCAGAACAGGTAAGATTGACTCTCGTAAAGCTGACTCCACAAGCAGTAAGATTGTAAAGTAGGTATGTTTATGCAGCACTGGGCGGCACGGGGGGTAGTCCCACCAAAGTCGTGCGCCCCTAACACGGCAACTTGCTTTGGTTATATGCAGTAGAGATTTACATATGCATGAGGTTTCGCAGTATGCCTATACATATTCATAACCTGTCCCCGCTTAGTATTAAAATTAGTTCCAAGAAGTCATTTCCATAAGCTGCGCTTTCCATTCCCTCTGCGCTTGCGCGGTGCCTTCTGGTGGTGGGCACTGAGGGTCGTGAGGATGAAGTGAGATGTCTTCACCAGGGTTGAACTTTTCACCTCGTCTCCTTGCGCATGCTCTCTGAGGCCTTGGTCATAATCTGGGCCATAAAGGTTGGTTTGGTCCAGTTCTCCGGGCCTGAGGGGCTCCTGTTATCTGGAGGCCTTGCATGTTTGACATTTTTTATCTTGTCCTTTTAAGAACAGTGCTCCTTTTCTCTGAGCCCTTGGTCACAGTCCGAACCATAAGGTTGGTTTGATCTGGTTCTTGGAGTCCCAGGGGCTTTGCCAGATATTTATGGACTCCCTGAAAAGAAAGAAACTTTTCCTGGTAAGAAAGGAGATAACTTGCAGGACCCCCACGCGCGGGGACTTTGGGCTGCATGCTCAGCTGCTGCTGGGAGGCTCAGGGAGCGAGATAGGGACAGCAGTGTGACGGGATGGCACCGAGAGCACCAGGATGAGGAGAACGGTGCTGGAGCGAGTCGGCCAGCTGGCCCTGAGCCCCTCCGACCTGGACACAATTATTCCCAAACCTGGGGCTTCTCCAAGAAGAGCCCACCCCCAGGACAGCCAAAGCCCACGTGGCCCTGGCAGTTCTGTGCCCAGAGGCACAAAGAGCAGCGTGGCCTAATTCCACCTGGCTGTGCGCAGCCAGGAGCTGCCTCCACCGTCCCTCCATGCGGACAGGCTGCCGGTGCGGTCGTGCCCAGAGAGCGTGCGTCACACTGGCAGCTGCCACACGGAGTCGGGAGCCCCAGGAGGGTTTGGTCGAACATCTTTGGCAGCCCTGGCAGCCTGCGATGAGCAGGCAGCACTCGCAGGAGGAGACAGGCAGGGCATTACCCTGGCAGGCTGAGCCCCGCTCTGCGTGGGCAGCTGCCAGGGCGTGCTGGGGGCCGCTGCAGGGCAGCTCACAGCAGCACTTCTAGGGGGGACGTGGAGGGAAATGGCAGAAATGGCCCAAATAACTTGGACTTTCTCCTCGCCTTCTCTTGCAGATGGAGAAGAAACTGCCACAACCGTGGGTTGCGGGGGGCCGAGAGAATCCAGCTGCCAGCCGTGCCGGCTTTCCCAAGGCTGGCAGCGACTCTCAAGCAAGTGCCTAAAGCAGAGACATCATCATCTGAAAAGGCCACTTGCAAGCTGCCCCCTCTGCAAGCAGCAGCCTCTGCAACTTCTGCCAGAGGAAGAGCAAAGGCATTGGGTACAGAGGCCCTCAGCCACCGAGAGCTTCTGCCACCTCTTCCATGCGTCTCTGCTGAGAGGGAGAGGGCAGTGAGGGCAGAGAGGTGGGAATGTGTCCCACACAGCCCTGTGGCCCCTGCTGAGGATGTGGAGTACTCAGTACGGTCCTTCGTCTCCACAGTCATAAGAAATGCTGTAGCCGAGAGCAAGGCAAGGCTTGCTCCATCAGGCAGAGGTCCCAGGACCACAGGCCACAGAACTCCAACTCTCCCCACAGCAGTGCCCCCGGCATTTGAAGAAGAGCCGGCACCCTGCCCCACACAGCCCCACCGACTCTTTTACGGCGCTGCAGGACACAGCACTGTCTGTTGTGTCTGAAGCCATGTCAAAGGGCGATGGCTAAAAATGGCGGCAACAAGGCCAACGACCAGCAGCAATGCTTTCTTTGGGCACAGAGTCTGGGTGAACTCCACAGGTGTTCTGACACAGGTCCATCTCATGCCTTGTTCCTTGCTGGGTGTCTGGTTAATAAGCAACAGCTTTTGCCTCCAATCCTCCACTTGTGTGCTTGCAGATTGCAAAACAGTGTGTTAGTGATTGCCTTCTGCTCTTGGCAGCTGGCACAGCTGCAGGTGTAGGGCAGCAGCAGGGCATCAGATGCTGTGGCATCAGTGACACACCATGATTGTGCTGCACCAGCCTCTTGGAGCTCTGCCTTTTAGGCATTTCCTTCTTTCCACAGGAGCCATCAGCCAGCCAGCTCTTTCACAGTGCTGGTGGACCCAACAGATGCCCATACGTGACTGCCCTCCTCTGCAGGCCAGTCTTAGTTACTCAGAAGCTCCTTGCTGCTTTTCCCTTAGGTGTACCTTCAGTTGGTGTCCTGAATTATGCCTGCCTGTCCTTGGACACCAGGACATGCTCCTCCGCAAGAGCAAAGTCCAAGCACAGTTTTCACAGCCTGGAAAAACCATGGGCTGGGGGAATGGCTCTTCCCTTCCCAGCCCACAGCAAACCCCTCTCGGATGGCACCAAGACCAGCGCTCTACAGCATTGAAAGCGGTGCCCTGGAGTCACACTGCCTTAGTTTTGCTTCCATGATTGGGCTCCACATACCTCATGGAGGAGTTGCAGGGGAAGCTCCCCTCTGTGTTGCAGAGCACACACTTGTCCCTCAGGACACCTCAGAGACCATGCGTGATGTGGCCAGTACGCATATGGAACCTACACTAATGATTCTTCGGAGACCTGATGAACATACAAGAGACTTACAGGAAATTAATTGAATATGTATTTGTCCCACTACTATAAGCATGCTGCCAGTAACTGTTGGTGTGCAAGTGAGGTGGAGCTATCCCCCTTGCATCTGGCGTGTGTGCACAGCACCGAATAAACATACCTACTTTACAACTTTACAGGTTGTGGAGTCTGTTTTCTGCAAGTCAGTTTGTCAAGCCAGCCAGGAGACACTCTGCTCGGCTGCGGGATCGGACCGCCCCTAGGAGCGCCCTGGGTATTTTCCTCAGAGGAGCCTCCGCTCCCAGCCGCTCCCTGTGGGAGCAGACCATGACCTCCTGAGCTGCAGACAAGCGGTATGTTTAACAAAGGGGGCCAGTAAGTCATAGGGGGCACCTGCTCTTGGCCGGGGCCACCAATAAACCTTGCTGAGATGTCTGGCGTACGGCATAGTCCCTGTAAGGGAGGAGGGTACCCTACAGGCTGATCGACAGAATGGTCAGAGGGGATTTGCTGACCGATAGGGTGGCCGCTAGCAATCTTGGGAGCAGACTGAGCAAATCCAAGGTCACCGCTGCGTCCTAGTATTGGGAGCCAGGATGTACCTGCTAATGACTGTAGAAGAAGCAGGAGAAGGGTAAGCGGGCCTCTCCCAGTTGTGACAAGGTTACCTGGGTGAATTTTGCAGCTGCTGGAGGGATATGAACTGGAGTGGTAATACTGTATGTCTTATTGTAAATGTCTGGTGACTGAGTCCCAAATAGGACTGCAATTAAAGTTTACAATTTATTAAAAGAACAGAGGCAAGCAAACAGCGCTGGGTGCGCCAGGAGTCTCTGCTCCAGCAAGACGCACACCAGTTACATCAAGCAGCTGATTTTTATGCTACCAGGCTAATACATATTCATTACTACTTCTAGAAAAAAAAGGGTTATTATAATTAGTTTCCGGAATCCAAGCCCTCCTACTGGAGCATGTGTATCAGTCTCCAGTGGTGTCTCTGGGGGTCTCTGGGGGTCTCTCGTGCTGAAGGCTCTTAGTCTTCCTCCCAGGGTTTTTTCTTGTCCTTCTCCTTTGTCCATCTTGGCCGGATGTCAGACTTGCGCAGCGTCCCACGCAAACTTTGTCTTTTAGTTGTCCTTTGGCTTTCCCCTTCTCCTTAATCTCTTGGCCAGATATCAGAGACTTGTGTAGTATCCTAAGCAACAGTCATCATAGTTAGCAGTTATTCTGAAACCCCTTTGTTCTCTTATCCCCTATTGACACGAATTGCTGGACCGTTCCTTTGCAAGATACAAGATCTATATACATTAACCACTCTGTTCTTCTTAGACTTGTGGTTATACAAGGGTATGTAAGACAGAAGGTCACATTCATCATACCATGCGGCCCTAGCATTTTTCCATATTGACACAAATCTGATGAACACATTTCTCAGGTGTGGAAAGAAAATTCTAGAATTTGCTTTTATTTTTTTTAAATCTTGAAAAGAAATAAGAAAGAAGCAATGTACTGTCTACAGTGCAGAAGCAGCACCACGAGAAAGAGAAGAGGCTTCTCCCTTGGATGTAGGCCCTGTGTGGGATGCCAAATAAGCCATTCTCTCTGAAGCAGCAGCTTCAGCGTCCTCCTCACAGGCCTCTCCTGAGGAAGTGTGCAGCTCATCCATATTCTCTCTGTCACAGGGTGCCTCCTCCCAGAGCAAAGACTGTAGACTGTACTTCCTCAGCCTCTTCCTTGGCTGGAGGCCCTGTGGGGGAGCCCAGCAAAGCCCCTCTCACTGCAGAAGCAGCACCATAAGAAGGAGAAATGGCTTCTCTCTCGGCTGGAGACTCTGTGTGGGATGTCAATCCTCACCACCCTCTTTGTGAAGAATTTTTGTGGCCACCAAGGAGCAGCTCTGACTAGCCTTGTCGTATTCTCTTTACAGGGATGCCTCCTGCTATTAAGAGCCGGCTGCTCACACACCAGAGTCTCTCTCCAGCCAGACTCTCCAGGGTGACAGGGGAGGCACAGCTGGGCCAGGCTGCTGGGGAAAAAGAGCCTTCTCCCAAATGAGGCTGGGGGGGAAAGCCATAGAAGGCAGCCTTTTACTTTATAAATAATTTTACTTTATAAATAATTTGTATACTTTTGCTTTCCTCAAAGCGGACGGTTGTTCATACATTAATAGCATTTGAGTTGAGGTTCCAAATTCTAAGCAAAATATTGTTAGGGTACATTCTGTATGGATTAGGAGCCTGTGGAATACGGAGAGGCAGTGTCACAACAGTGACTCGGGATGTGTGACAGAAGAGGGACCATGGACCCAAGAGCAGATTTACAAAGGTTCTACTGAAGTTTGTTTCACGATCGTGTGACCCCTCTGCCATTAGGGAAGTGAGAGGTCACCATTAAAATATTCAGCAGTTCATATAAAATTTGCAACAAAATGCTGTGTGAACATACACAGTCACATTGTTACAGCAGTCCTGACTCCACCAATCGTCTTCCTCATTTCCATGCAACGCGGTGCTTTGGACTGAGGCCTCGGGTAGACACCAGTCCTTCATTTATGTCTCCCTGAGAGCTTGCTCTTCTCCAGAGTTAAGCTTTCTCAAAACAGGATTTTTGGTGTTTTGTCACCTAATCTGCTTGTTGCTCCTAGCATGTCCTGCAAAAGTTCTCAGGCGGGTATGTACAGCTTTTGCTAAGACCATACTGGGTGTGCCAGTTCTGCAGGCTCCACCAAGTGCCATCACTCCACGTTGTGGTCTGTGGCAGTTAACAAGCTACCTAAAGAGTCTGAGCCTGGTGTGGGCACTTGGCCTCATTAACATAGAAAGAACTGTCTGGAGCCCATTTTTCACGAGAATACACACCTGGCTATGTAACATTACATTTTCCTCACCACTTTCCTTTATTTCATTTGTTTTATTTATAGTGGGTAGCTGCAACCACTTGGAAGAAAAAGCAGAAGAGGAGAGAGAAATGCTGCCCAAATCTTTGCAGTGTGATCAGTGTTAATAAAGCTTCTGACTGACCTCTTTTAAAATGCACTTGCGTTATTACACATTTGGAGTCACAGTATTCCCCAACACTCTAGTGCAGTCTTTGGCCATCCACCCACTGGCTGCTTCAGAGAAGGAATGAAAACGAAGAGGCTCTAACTCCAGTGGTCACCCTGCTGGCTAAAAAATCACCAGAGCTGAGGGTCACGCACAGAAAGTGGAAGGGGACGGTGCTCCCTGCACCTATAGCTGGATGACGTGGGAAGGTTCAGCCCAAGGAAAAGTCCTGGACAGTGCTGAGAGAAGTTGCAGCCTCCTTTCCTGCTCCTGGGGCAAGGCCTGGGGCCAGCACCCTGCAGTGACCCTCACAGCCTGCGGACTGCTCTGCCCGAATCTCCAGGGTGCAGCAGTCTCCTTGGGGAGGCAGCTCCCTGACAGGGCAGGCTGCAGCCCCTGTTGTGACACGCGATGAGGCAACAGCGGGGCCGTCTGTGACATCACACCACGTCCTGCTCAAAAGCCCTGTGCGCCGCGACCTGCCCTCACTTGGCTGCGAGGCCTTCAGGAGGCAGTGGCTGGTGCTGCTCTGCTGGTGCTGCCGCTGTGATCTTGAGGAGCTGCCTTGCAGAAAGGAGCCAAAGGCACTGGGAAGCAGCGTCCCCGCGTGGGACAATTCCTGCTGACGAGTGGAGGAGGCCCGGAGCGAGATGGAGGCCAGGAGTGCTCCCATCCTGTGCAACGGCCGCCTCATGTGTCCAACACTCATGCACCTCCAGGACGATGGTGAGCCCAACAGGAGGTGCCTGAGGAACAGGCAGCAGCGCAGCCCACTTGAGCTGCAGTTTCTTGTGGGGAGAGAGAGGGAGGGTCTGGGGACATAGACACTGGCCCCATTGGCCACGAGGACTGTGCTGGACGAGAAAGCTGGCTTGCAGTATGACGTCTCTTGCCCTTGCTTTTCAGAGATTGTGAAAGTTTGGGATGCAGTATCCCACTTCATCCGCAGGCAGTTTGCGCTGAACAAGGTGAGCTTGGCAGCCTCATCCTGCCCTCTTACTCTGCTCTTTCCCACAGCCCGCCTCCTCAAGCATCAGAAACACCCCAGCGGTGGCCTGCAAACTGCAGAGGTGTCCAGGGGCCCCTTGCTGCTCTGGCAATATGCACAAAAGAAGAGCCCAGCTCCAGCAGAAGGACGGGGTCCATTCTGCCTGGTGCTTGTGTGTTGCCCGTGGCCAGAGTGGGCAGGCCAGCATGTCGCTGGTGCTGGCACTCAAGGCTTTCCCTGCTTGTTGGGAAAATCCGTGACATTGAGGCCATCTCCAGGGTTCTGCAGAGTGACACTGCCTGGCACCTTCTCGTGAGCAGTGGCCAAGGCATGAGGGCCCATCTTCTTGCTTGGAGAAGCCCCAGAAATACTGACCCGTGTTCCTGATTTCTTGCTTTTCAGGGTGTCACAGTACCTGGGCTGGGCACCTTCTTTGCTGTTAAACAGGACCGGCCCATGGCAGGCGTTAAGCTCCTTGATGCAAAGAAGCCCGTCTTCCAGGTTTCGGAGCACTTTGCCAATGTTCATGGGCTCCCTTACAAGAAAGAAACTTTTCCTGGTAAGAAGAGAGATGATTGTCTGGGCTCCCACGCGCGGGGACTTTGGGCTGCATGCTCAGCTGCTGCTGGGAGGGCAGTGGAGGGGTTCCACAGCTCCTCCAGGAGGTCCAGAGAAAGGCCTGAGCTCCTCTCAAGCCAAGGCCCATCAATGCCTTGCACGTCCCTCCAGACACCAGCTCCCAGAAACGTCCCTCCCCATCCTGTTGGCACCCTGATGGCTGCGTTGGTGGTTGACTTCTGCTCTAAGCAGTTCGGACAACAGCAGGTGCAGGCTGACACTGGGCATCAGCTTCTATGGCATCAGCGATGCCCCACGACTGTGCTGCCCCAGGCTCTTGGAGCTCTGTCTTTCAGGGATTCTCTTCCTCCAGACGAGCAGTCAGCAAGACAGCTCTGTAGCAGTGCTGGAGGGCCCAGAAGCTACCCAAATGGGACTGCCCTCCTCTGCAGGCCTGTCTTAGTTATTTTCTCCTTGCTTCCTCTCCCTCAGGAATACCTCCATTTGTTTTCCTGAATTATGCCTGGCTGTCCTTGGACATCGGCATTCCTCGGGACACCGTGCAGCGCTGCATTCAGGAGACCCTGCTCTTTCTCTCCTACAGCCTTGCAAAGAAGCAGGCTGTGGATTTCATCTTCAAGGACATCGGCCGTCTGGTCTTCCGCAAGAGCAGAGTCCAAATGCACTTTTCCTCCGACTTTGTTCACAACCTGAATAGCAACGGCCAGCTGTTGAAATGCCGCCTCACTGTAAGTTTCTCACTGCACCAGCACAGCCCAGGGCTCCTGGGAAATGCCCCGAGAGGCCGTTGGGAGGGACTTCTCCTTCTGGGTCAGACGCGTCTCCTGATGAGGCACAGGAGTCTGGCCCCTGCACAAAGCCAGGCAGTGATTTGCCGGGTGCAGGCACTTGCTGGGCAGCTTGTGCTGCTCGTAAAGGAGGGGTGAACACTAAGGCCTGCAAACTCTGCCTGCGGGCTGCTTTCTGCCTGAGCAGCCGCGATGCCTTCGTTGGCAAGGGCATCCCTTCCTGGCCATGGTCTCACCCACGACTGTCTCTCCTGCAGAGGTTAAGCACAACGGATTTGGCCACATCGGAGAGAAAAAGCATGGTCCCACACCCAGCTTCTCGAGGTGTCATCATCTTTCCCAGGTGGGTGCATTGCTTCTGCAGCCCTCGGCTGAGAGTTTTGGCAGCTTTTCAGCTCCTCTCCGGAAGGTCAGCAGTGCCAGGGCTTGCCCAGTGCTCATGGAGGAGCTGGAGGGGAGACTTCTCCAAGCACTGTTTCCTCCTCCACTCCACACCGATTCTTGCTTGTTTTGGACGAGGGGGCATTCTCTTTGTGTAGCTAGGGCTGGGGGAATGTCTATTGCCTGCCCAGCCCACAGCAAGCCCCTCTCAGACGCTGGCACCAAGACTAGCACCCTACAGCCCTAGAATATGGTGCCCTGGAGTCACACTGCCTTGGTCTTTCTTCCAGGATTGGGCTCTACATATCCTCGGGGAAGAGCTGCAGGGGAAGGGTCTCTCCAAGCACCCAAGGGTTCTGCTTTGGAGAAGAAGGGAGACGCAAGTGTGGAGGGAGAGTCTACCAGAAGAGGTAATGTGAGAGCGGGCTCTTGGGAGTGACAGCCCCTGGGAGACCTCTCTGCCCTTCCCTTCTGAATGTCCTCCTGAGGGCAAGGGGTACAGAGGCGAGGCTGGAAGGCTGCGCTTTGCACAGGATGTGGCCCCTGCTCTGACCCCAGTTCCCTGCGGCAGTAGCTCTGCTGGGCCTTCGTAGGAACCAGAATGGCAGGGCAGCCCAGAGCTTCCCGTAGCATTCGACAGTGCTCAGGCCTCTTCCACGCTGGCCTCCTGGAGCTCCTGTCTACTGAAAGCCCCACTCTGGATGAGATGTGTCCAAAGGTAGAATGTGGGGTACAGTGGCAGCAGGGAGTCCCAGGACTCCCATCCCCACCTGAGCAGTTGCGAGCCCAATAAAGACTGTTACTTCCTGCTGGAGGGACCAGCACGGGCTTCGTAGTGTGCCGATTTCACAGAACACAGAATGGTTTTAGGATGGGAGCTACCTGAAGACGTCAGCTTGGCCAAACCCCTGCTCAAACTGGGCAACCCAGCACCAGTGTCCAAGGAGCATGTCCTGTGCAGATGACTCCCGTCCCCACCCGTGAAATGCCAGTGGCCAAGGAGACTCCCTTCTAGGCCAACCCATCTCCCAGCTTGCTCTGCCTTTTACAAGTAGCACAGGATCCAGCAGGGAGGCTCATTCCCTGCCTCTTTGTGTGGCCACCAAGGAGCAGCACTGACGAGCCTTCTCGTTTCCTCCTTACAGGGATGCCTCCTATTAAGAGCCAGCTGCTTACACCCAAGAGTCTCTCTCTATCCAGACTCTCCAAGATGAAAGGGGAGGCATATCTGGGCCAGGCTGCAGGGGAAAAAGTGCCTTCACCCAGGTAAGGCTTGGGGGGAACTGGAGGAGGCAGCCCCTGGGCTCTTCTCCTTGAGTCATTGAGCGGCTTTCCTTGGCTCAGGGACTTAGTGAACTTTACAGAGGTCCCAACACATGTCCCACCAACTGCTGTTTCCTCGCTGGGCACCTGGTTGTTGAGCAAAATCTCTAGCAGCAAATCCTCCTCTTGTGTGCTTGCAGAATGCCAACAGCAAGTCAGGAGAGCAACTCAAAGATGGCAGAAGAGGGGAAGGGCAAGCACTGTGCTGCAGCCTGGCCCCAAAATCAAGCCCCTGCCTGTGAAGGTCAACGGAGAGCAGGACAGGTAGCCACTGGATCTGTGTGCCCATTGCCGGGTTGTTTCACGGGTTGCCTTTGTGGAGATTTGATGTTTCTCTGATCGTTGCATGCCCTTCTCTCCTGTAGGAAATACGCTGCCTGTACCGCCAAGAAGATGAGAAAACTCTGCAGGCATTGTTGGTTGAGGAGCAGCTGAAGAAAGAATGGGAGAGACAGAACATGTGGGCACAGTGCAAGGCTCGTGGCAAAACGAACGGGGGAGAGAGTATCTGGGTATGCCAAGTGCTTTCAAGCACTCCAGAAAGAACCTTTCTCTTCTCTCAGGGGGCCATGTGAACACTCTTCTCCTCTTAGCTCTGCAAGGAAGCTTCTCTCCAAGAGAAAAATCTGCCCTTTCTGAGCCTTGTTTTATATTTTGAAGGGCGAGGGCTCCTCCAAAGCCCACTGCAGTGAAAGTGTTCTTGCCCTTAGCTTCAGAGGCCGAGGGCTGGGGCCTTTCATGCTGCCTTTCTGAGAGAAAGCAGGCTGCAGGGAAACTGCCCTGAGCCTGGGGAAACCCTGAGGGGACGACTGCCCCACTGCCATGGGACATCTCCCACGTTAGCACCCCCATCTAAAAATGTTCCTTCTTTCTTCTTCCCCTGTAGCAGAAGACGCAGATGGAAATGCAGAGGCTGCAGACAGAGAGTGCATCCTCCATGGCACTTGTGGAATGGAAAAAGTCTCTGCAGATGGTGCCAGTGGACATGAAACAGCAGCATGTCCTCGTCCCTCACCCGCCGGAGAAGAAGGCTGAGGCAGCTCCTCTGAGCAAACCAAGTGCCAGGTAAGTGTGGGCCAGCTTCCAAAAAAGGCCAGGAAAAGCTGAGCTGCACCAGGCTGCCCGAGGGATCCAGCATGCGGGTTGCTCAGCTCTGGGCTTTGGCTCTCCATCCCCTGGCTGCCTCGCGGAGGGAATGACCATGGAGAGGCCCTGCCTCCAGCTGTCCCCCTGCAGACCCAAAGTCCTAAAGCTCCCCTGCAGCTGACAGTGACGCACCCACAATGGAAGGAGGCTGTGCTCCCTGCTTTTGGGCAGCCAGAGGTGGGGACCTTCAGAGCCCACCTGAGAGTTTATTTTCTCTGTTGCTGCAGCTGCCTTTCAGTGCGGACTGAGCGCATGAGGAAACAGCTGGTGAAGAGAAAAGAGGTCCTGCAGAAAGACAAGACCAAGAGCAGAGTTGTCCACATCCCTGGAAATTCTGCAGAGGATCTTCTGATTTGGTAAACCTCTCCTGCAACAGCCTTCATTCCACTAGCAACAGTCCCTTCCTTGGGCAATGAGTCCCCTGGGCTCACGAGAACCCTTGCCCTGGCCTTCTGTAGCTGCTTGGCCAAAGGTCTCCAGCCCGGTCTCACACAGCGCCTCGGCCTGGCGCTGCGTAGATTCCCTGTCACTGGCTGGGACTCGAGGGGCCCCCGCAAGGCCACACAGAGCCTTGGGACTCCTGCATATGCACTCTGCACAGGACTGGGGCTGAAGGGAGCAGGGAGTGTCACTCCGCTGCCCTCACTGGAACAGAAACTTGAACCCTTTCTTTTTCTCTCCCTAGCGTTGGTGAGAAAATCCCTGTGCTTCCAATGCCAAAGATGACACGAGCATCAGGGAAACCAGCGAGGACCCCTCACAGCTGTGAGCAGCTGCGAGCCCAATAAAGTCTTTTGCTTCCTGCTGGAAGGACCAGCACGGGCTTTGTAGTGTTCTGATTTCACAGAAACACAGAATGGTTGAGGTTGGAAGGTACCTGAAGAGGTCAGCTTGGCCAACCCCCTGCTCAAACATTGCTACCCAGCACCAGTGTCCAAGGAGCATGTCCTGTGGAGATGGCTTTCAAGTGTCTCCCCTTGAGGAGGGAGACTCTACAGCCTCACTGGAGAACCCGTGAGAGGACTCGCTCACCCACACACTACAGAAATGGATCCTGAGGTTCAGATGGAAGCCACTGTGTTTGCTTCTGTGCCCATCGCCTCCTGTCCTGTCATTGGGCTCCACTGAAATGAGCCTGGCTCCATTGCCTTTGCACCCTGCCCGCAGGCATGCAGTTATCCACTGATCCCCCCCTGAGCTTTCTCTTCTCCAGGCTAAACAGTCCCATCTCTCCCAGCCTCTCTTCATAGAAGAGATGCTCTGTTCCCTCAATAATCCACCTCACAATTTTTGTGGGACTGTTAAACAGTTCAAGTAGCACCACTCGTGGCCTGCCAAGACAGCCACGAAGGCCTCCTAGCTGAGGCTGCTGATTCTCCCTTGCTGAAAGCCAGGTGCCCTTAGGATCCAGCATCAGATCCTGCCTGTGCCTGGAGAGCTGGGAAGAGCTGGGAGCTCTTGATCCTTCCAGGGTGGAACTTCCAAGGTAACGGCTCACTGCAACCTTCCCTTTGGTCCCAGGAAATAAAAAAAAAAAGCATCAAGCACCTGCCCTCACTCCTCACTCAGCCCAGAATTAGCAACAAGTCTTCCTTCCCTGCTGGTACTGCTGCCAAGGGAGCTTTGGAGTTAAGAGCCTCTTTTTGGGAAACGGCTTTTCCATGACCTCTTGGGTCTGCACATTGCCAAAAAACAGAGAGAGAGAGAGAGTTTGAAACTTGGGAGAAAGGAAGGAAAGCCAGCAGGGCCAAACACTATCCCAGGGACTTTAAATCTGCACAGCACAAAACCGAAGGACAAGTTGATTTTTTTTGTCACATCACTCATACAAGAAAGTGAAGAGCTCTCTTTCTCTCACATGCTCTCACAATTTTCATTGTCTCCTCCTAAAACTTTCGGGGACTTTGATCCCTCATCAGGCAGCCTCGATGCAAGTTGCTGTCAATTCCACTTGGGTGGAATACCTCTTGCTGAATTGCTGCCTTTGGCCTTAGAGATCCCAATCTATAGGCATCCTTTGAACTGATTTCCTCAAATCCCTTTTAAGCACATCATCCTGAAGTCTACTGAACCCGGCCCATGTAATCTGCTACGTCACATAATGCTGAAAGCTTGTGACCGAGTGAGGGTGCCACGGAGAAAACCTCCGTGTTGTGGGGCACACGCTCGTCCCTCACAGACCACGTGCGACGTGGCCATCTGACACATGGAGACACTGAGGGAGGGTGTCAGGCACAAGCTCTATATTAAACACTCGTGAAGCATTCCTTCTTCCTTATTCCCTTTCGAGATTTCATGAATAAACAAATGGCAGTTCTAGCATTTCCTTCCCACACCCAAATGGATCACCTTGCACACCCCCTGGGGCACTCTCGAGGTTTGTATGGGACTGAAAGGAGAGAGTTTCCTTCTCAGTGCTGGCATGCTCGGCTCAGCTGTGGCCCTACAGGAAAGGGGATCTACAGGAAAGTGCTTCCTGAGTGCAGGCAGAGAGAGAGAAAAGCTGCTCCCTGACAGGGCGGCTCCAGCCCCACCCTCTGACAGCCCTGGCAGCCATTTGGCAGTTCTGCCTGCCCCCCGCGCCACAAGCTGGCTGAGGCCTTGGGCTGTCCCCAGCACGGCTGTCAGTGGTGTCGGGCGGCATCTAGAGCCAAGAGGCCTTTCTTCTTCTTTGTGCTGAAGGAAACTTTGTGCTGTCTGGAGCGAGCAGTGCCGCTTTTCTCCGCATTCCGGGGCTGTCATGGTAAGTGACATGGCCTCTCACTTTGAGGGCCCTGTTTTTCGTCAGCATTTGTGAGGGGCTTCTGCATGCCCCCCGCTCACTTGTTGCGGCCAGGGCTTCCCCCCAGGATGTCTGGGCAAGGCCCATGCCGCTGGGCAGGCTCTGGGTGGGCCTCGTCCCCTGCAGGGGCAGGCGTCTGCCGCTGAGCCCAGAGCCCAGGAGCGGCTCCTGCACTCGCGGCTGCCCCTGCGCGGGCTGCTGCCGCTGCTTCTGGAACCTTCCTGCAGCCTCTGGCAGCTGGCGCCTGCTTGGCGGCCGCACGTTGGGCTTGTCAGCGTGGGATGAGCGGGCCGTGCCAGCCCGCAGCGTGGCATTGGCGGCCTTGTTGCCATCCCCAGGGCACGGCTGAAGGGGATATTGTGGGTTTGATTTGCAAGGACGGGGAGAATTTGGGATGCAGTATCCCACTTCATGCGCAGGCAGTTCGCACTGAACAAGGTGGGCTTTGCAGCCTCATGCTGCCCTCTTACTCTGCTCTTTCCCAGAGCTGCCACCCCACAGAACACACTTGTGGACCTGAAATCGAAGTCTCTGCAGATGGCAGCAGTGCCTATGAAGCAGCAGCATGTCCTCATCCCTCACCCCCCAGAGGAGAACACTGAGGCAGATCCTGTGAGGAAATCAATGCCAAGCAAGTGTGGGCCAGCTCCCACAAAGGCCAGGGAAAGCTGAGCTGCATCAGGCTGCCCGAGGGATCCAGCATGCGGGTCGCTCAGCTCTGGGCTTTGGCTCTCCATCCCCTGGCTGCTTCGGGGTCAGGCAATGACCATGGAGATGCCCTGCCTCCAGCTGTCCCCCTGCAGACCCAAAGTCCTGAAGCTCCCCTGCAGCTGACAGTCACACACCTCGTGTGGAAGGGAGCTGTGCCCACTTGTCCTGGGACCAGGGGAGGCCGAGTTGGCGTGTTAGGAAACAGCTGGGGAAGAGGAAGGAGGCCCTGCAGGAAGGCAGGACCAAGAGCAGAGCTGTGGACATCCCCGGGAAGACTGTGGAGGAGCTCCCGCTCTGGTAGTCCTCTGCTGCAACAGCCTTCTTTCCACAGCCCCTTGTTCAGTGAGGCCTCTGGGCTCTCACTGGCACCCTTCTCCCTGAAGGGAGCAGGGAGTGTCACTCAGCTCTCCTCACTGGAGCAGAATCTTGAACCTTTCCAGAGAATCACAGAATGGCTTGGGTTGCAATTGATGTTAAAGATCTTCTATTCCCTCCCGCCCCTTGCCATGGGCAGGGATGCCATTCACTAGAGCAAGTAGCCCAGTGCCTCATCCAAACAGGTCTTGAAGACCTCCAGGGATGGGGCATCCACGGCTTCTCTGGGCAAGCTGTTCCAGTGCCTCACCACCCTCTGTGTGAAGAAGTTTTGTGGCCACCAAGGAGCAGCTCTGACTAGCCTTCTCTTTTCCTCCTGTCAGGGATGCCTCCTGCTATTAAGAGCCGGCTGCTCACACCCCAGAGTCGCTCTCCAGCCAGACTCCAGGGCGACAGGGGAGGCACAGCTGGGCCAGGCTGCTGGGGAAAAAGAGCCTTCTCCCAAATGAGGCTGGGGGAAAGCCATAGAAGGCATCCCCAGAGCTCTTCCCCTTGAGTCATCGAGAAGCTTTCCTTGCACGCAGGGACTCCACAATGGGCCTGACGCATGTCCCACTGACGGCAGTTTCCTGCCTGGGCACCCAGCAGGTGAGCAAAATCTCTTGCAGCAAATCCTCCTCTGTAAGGTAGCCGGTGTGGTCCGCCTACCTGGGTTGTTAGAAGGGAAATGCTTCTGGAGATGTGACATTTTGACAATTATTGTGCCTTCTTCAGTGCCTTCTTCATGATTAAAGAGGAGCTCCCCATGGTGGGCTTTGAGCTCCTTGATGTACAGAAGCCCATCTTCCAGGTTTCAGAGACCTTTGCCAGTATTCATGGGCTCCCTTACAAGAAAGAAACTTTTCCGGGTAAGAAGAGAGATGAATGTCAGAGCTCCAATGTGCAAGGATGTGGGCTGCATGCTCAGCTGCTGCTGGGAAGGCAGTGCAGGGGTTACACAGCTCCTCCAGGAGATCCAGAGAAAAGCCTGAGTACCTCAGAAGCCAAAACCTGCCAATGCTTTGCACCTTCTGGCAGGCAGCAGCTGCCGGAAATGTCCCTCTCCATGCTGTTGGCACCCTGATGGCTGCGTTGGTGGTTGACTTCTCCTCTTGGCATCTGGCACAGCTGCAGGTGCAGAGCAGCAGCAGGGCATCAGTGCTGGAGGGCCCAGCAGCTACGCAAATGTGACTGCCCTCCTCTGCAGGCCTGTGTAGTTACTTTGCTCCTTGCTTCTTTTCTGTAAGGTGTAATTCGATTTGTTTTCCTGAATTATGCCTGGCTGTCCTTGGACACAAGGGCACATTGCAGTGCTGCATTGGGAGGGCCTTGTCCTTCTGGGTCAGACGCGTCTCCTGATGAGGCACAGGAGTCTGGCCCCTGCACAAAGCCAGGCAGTGATTTGCCGGGTGCAGGCACTTGCTGGGCAGCTTGTGCTGCTCGTAAAGGAGGGGTGAACACTAAGGCCTGCAAACTCTGCCCGAGGGCTGCTTTCTGCCTGAGCAGCCGCGATGCCTCCGTTGGCAAGGGCACCCCTTCCTGGCCATGGTCTCAGCCACGACTGTCTCTCCTGCAGAGGCTAGGCACAACAGATTTGGCCACATGGGAGAGAAAAAGCATAGTCCCACATCCAGCTTCTGGAGGTGTCCTCATCTTTTCCACGTGGGCGCGTTGCTTCTGCAGCCCTCGGCTGAGCGTTTTGGCAGCTTTTCAGCTCCTCTCCGGAAGGTCAGCAGTGCCAGGGCTTGCCCAGTGCTCAGGGAGGAGCTGGAGGGAGACTTCTCCAAGCACTGTTTCCTCCTCCACTCCACACCGATTCTTGCTTGTTTTGGACGAGGGGGCATTCTCTTTGTGTAGCTAGGGCTGGGGGAATGTCTGTTGCCTGCCCAGCCCACAGCAAGCCCCTCTCGGATGCTGGCACCAAGACCAGCACCCTACAGCCCTAGAATGTGGTGCTCTGGAGTCACACTGCCTTGGTCTTTCTTCCAGGATTGGGCTCTACATACCTCATGGAAGAGCTGCAGGGAGAAGAGCCTCTCCAAGCACCCAAGGGTTTTGCTTTGGAAAAGAAGGGAGACACAACGATGGAGGGAGAGTCTACCAGAACAGGTAAGATTGACTCTCGTAAAGCTGACTCCACAAGCAGTAAGATTGTAAAGTAGGTATGTTTATGCAGCACTGGGCGGCACGGGGGGTAGTCCCACCAAAGTCGTGCGCCCCTAACACGGCAACTTGCTTTGGTTATATGCAGTAGAGATTTACATATGCATGAGGTTTCGCAGTATGCCTATACATATTCATGACCTGTCCCCGCTTAGTATTAAAATTAGTTCCAAGAAGTCATTTCCATAAGCTGCGCTTTCCATTCCCTCTGCGCTTGCGCGGTGCCTTCTGGTGGTGGGCACTGAGGGTCGTGAGGATGAAGTGAGATGTCTTCACCAGGGTTGAACTTTTCACCTCGTCTCCTTGCGCATGCTCTCTGAGGCCTTGGTCATAATCTGGGCCATAAAGTTGGTTTGGTCCAGTTCTCCGGGCCTGAGGGGCTCCTGTTATCTGGAGGCCTTGCATGTTTGACATTTTTTATCTTGTCCTTTTAAGAACAGTGCTCCTTTTCTCTGAGCCCTTGGTCACAGTCCGAACCATAAGGTTGGTTTGATCTGGTTCTTGGAGTCCCAGGGGCTTTGCCAATATTTATGGACTCCCTAAAAAGAAAGAAACTTTTCCTGGTAAGAAAGGAGATAACTTGCAGGACCCCCACGCGCGGGGACTTTGGGCTGCATGCTCAGCTGCTGCTGGGAGGCTCAGGGAGCGAGATAGGGACAGCAGTGTGACGGGATGGCACCGAGAGCACCAGGATGAGGAGAACGGTGCTGGAGCGAGTCGGCCAGCTGGCCCTGAGCCCCTCCGACCTGGACACAATTATTCCCAAACCTGGGGCTTCTCCAAGAAGAGCCCACCCCCAGGACAGCCAAAGCCCACGTGGCCCTGGCAGTTCTGTGCCCAGAGGCACAAAGAGCAGCGTGGCCTAATTCCACCTGGCTGTGCGCAGCCAGGAGCTGCCTCCACCGTCCCTCCATGCGGACAGGCTGCCGGTGCGGTCGTGCCCAGAGAGCGTGCGTCACACTGGCAGCTGCCACACGGAGTCGGGAGCCCCAGGAGGGTTTGGTCGAACATCTTTGGCAGCCCTGGCAGCCTGCGATGAGCAGGCAGCACTCGCAGGAGGAGACAGGCAGGGCATTACCCTGGCAGGCTGAGCCCCGCTCTGCGTGGGCAGCTGCCAGGGCGTGCTGGGGGCCGCTGCAGGGCAGCTCACAGCAGCACTTCTAGGGGGGACGTGGAGGGAAATGGCAGAAATGGCCCAAATAACTTGGACTTTCTCCTCGCCTTCTCTTGCAGATGGAGAAGAAACTGCCACACCGTGGGTTGCGGGGGGCCGAGAGAATCCAGCTGCCAGCCGTGCCGGCTTTCCCAAGGCTGGCAGCGACTCTCAAGCAAGTGCCTAAAGCAGAGACATCATCATCTGAAAAGGCCACTTGCAAGCTGCCCCCTCTGCAAGCAGCAGCCTCTGCAACTTCTGCCAGAGGAAGAGCAAAGGCATTGGGTACAGAGGCCCTCAGCCACCGAGAGCTTCTGCCACCTCTTCCATGCGTCTCTGCTGAGAGGGAGAGGGCAGTGAGGGCAGAGAGGTGGGAATGTGTCCCACACAGCCCTGTGGCCCCTGCTGAGGATGTGGAGTACTCAGTACGGTCCTTCGTCTCCACAGTCATAAGAAATGCTGTAGCCGAGAGCAAGGCAAGGCTTGCTCCATCAGGCAGAGGTCCCAGGACCACAGGCCACAGAACTCCAACTCTCCCCACAGCAGTGCCCCGGCATTTGAAGAAGAGCCGGCACCCTGCCCCACACAGCCCCACCGACTCTTTTACGGCGCTGCAGGACACAGCACTGTCTGTTGTGTCTGAAGCCATGTCAAAGGCGATGGCTAAAATGCGGCAACAAGGCCAACGACCAGCAGCAATGCTTTCTTTGGGCACAGAGTCTGGGTGAACTCCACAGGTGTTCTGACACAGGTCCATCTCATGCCTTGTTCCTTGCTGGGTGTCTGGTTAATAAGCAACAGCTTTTGCCTCCAAATCCTCCACTTGTGTGCTTGCAGATTGCAAAACAGTGTGTTAGTGATTGCCTTCTGCTCTTGGCAGCTGGCACAGCTGCAGGTGTAGGGCAGCAGCAGGGCATCAGATGCTGTGGCATCAGTGACACACCATGATTGTGCTGCACCAGCCTCTTGGAGCTCTGCCTTTTAGGCATTTCCTTCTTTCCACAGGAGCCATCAGCCAGCCAGCTCTTTCACAGTGCTGGTGGACCCAACAGATGCCCATACGTGACTGCCCTCCTCTGCAGGCCAGTCTTAGTTACTCAGAAGCTCCTTGCTGCTTTTCCCTTAGGTGTACCTTCAGTTGGTGTCCTGAATTATGCCTGCCTGTCCTTGGACACCAGGACATGCTCCTCCGCAAGAGCAAAGTCCAAGCACAGTTTTCCACAGCCTGGAAAAACCATGGGCTGGGGGAATGGCTCTTCCCTTCCCAGCCCACAGCAAACCCCTCTCGGATGGCACCAAGACCAGCGCTCTACAGCATTGAAAGCGGTGCCCTGGAGTCACACTGCCTTAGTTTTGCTTCCATGATTGGGCTCCACATACCTCATGGAGGAGTTGCAGGGGAAGCTCCCCTCTGTGTTGCAGAGCACACACTTGTCCCTCAGGACACCTCAGAGACCATGCGTGATGTGGCCAGTACGCATATGGAACCTACACTAATGATTCTTCGGAGACCTGATGAACATACAAGAGACTTACAGGAAATTAATTGAATATGTATTTGTCCCACTACTATAAGCATGCTGCCAGTAACTGTTGGTGTGCAAGTGAGGTGGAGCTATCCCCCTTGCATCTGGCGTGTGTGCACAGCACCGAATAAACATACCTACTTTACAACTTTACAGGTTGTGGAGTCTGTTTTCTGCAAGTCAGTTTGTCAAGCCAGCCAGGAGACACTCTGCTCGGCTGCGGGATCGGACGCCCCTAGGAGCGCCCTGGGTATTTTCCTCAGAGGAGCCTCCGCTCCCAGCCGCTCCCTGTGGGAGCAGACCATGACCTCCTGAAGCTGCAGACAAGCGGTATGTTTAACAAAGGGGGCCAGTAAGTCATAGGGGGCACCTGCTCTTGGCCGGGGCCACCAATAAACCTTGCTGAGATGTCTGGCGTACGGCATAGTCCCTGTAAGGGAGGAGGGTACCCTACAGGCTGATCGACAGAATGGTCAGAGGGGATTTGCTGACCGATAGGGTGGCCGCTAGCAATCTTGGGAGCAGACTGAGCAAATCCAAGGTCACCGCTGCGTCCTAGTATTGGGAGCCAGGATGTACCTGCTAATGACTGTAGAAGAAGCAGGAGAAGGGTAAGCGGGCCTCTCCCAGTTGTGACAAGGTTACCTGGGTGAATTTTGCAGCTGCTGGAGGGATATGAACTGGAGTGGTAATACTGTATGTCTTATTTGTAAATGTCTGGTGACTGAGTCCCAAATAGGACTGCAATTAAAGTTTACAATTTATTAAAAGAACAGAGGCAAGCAAACAGCGCTGGGTGCGCCAGGAGTCTCTGCTCCAGCAAGACGCACACCAGTTACATCAAGCAGCTGATTTTTATGCTACCAGGCTAATACATATTCATTACTACTTCTAGAAAAAAAAGGGTTATTATAATTAGTTTCCGGAATCCAAGCCCTCCTACTGGAGCATGTGTATCAGTCTCCAGTGGTGTCTCTGGGGGTCTCTGGGGGTCTCTCGTGCTGAAGGCTCTTAGTCTTCCTCCCAGGGTTTTTTTCTTGTCCTTCTCCTTTGTCCATCTTGGCCGGATGTCAGACTTGCGCAGCGTCCCACGCAAACTTTGTCTTTTAGTTGTCCTTTGGCTTTCCCCTTCTCCTTAATCTCTTGGCCAGATATCAGAGACTTGTGTAGTATCCTAAGCAACAGTCATCATAGTTAGCAGTTATTCTGAAACCCCTTTGTTCTCTTATCCCCTATTGACACGAATTGCTGGACCGTTCCTTTGCAAGATACAAGATCTATATACATTAACCACTCTGTTCTTCTTAGACTTGTGGTTATACAAGGGTATGTAAGACAGAAGGTCACATTCATCATACCATGCGGCCCTAGCATTTTTCCATATTGACACAAATCTGATGAACACATTTCTCAGGTGTGGAAAGAAAATTCTAGAATTTGCTTTTATTTTTTTTAAATCTTGAAAAGAAATAAGAAAGAAGCAATGTACTGTCTACAGTGCAGAAGCAGCACCACGAGAAAGAGAAGAGGCTTCTCCCTTGGATGTAGGCCCTGTGTGGGATGCCAAATAAGCCATTCTCTCTGAAGCAGCAGCTTCAGCGTCCTCCTCACAGGCCTCTCCTGAGGAAGTGTGCAGCTCATCCATATTCTCTCTGTCACAGGGTGCCTCCTCCCAGAGCAAAGACTGTAGACTGTACTTCCTCAGCCTCTTCCTTGGCTGGAGGCCCTGTGGGGGAGCCCAGCAAAGCCCCTCTCACTGCAGAAGCAGCACCATAAGAAGGAGAAATGGCTTCTCTCTCGGCTGGAGACTCTGTGTGGGATGTCAATCCTCACCACCCTCTTTGTGAAGAATTTTTGTGGCCACCAAGGAGCAGCTCTGACTAGCCTTGTCGTATTCTCTTTACAGGGATGCCTCCTGCTATTAAGAGCCGGCTGCTCACACACCAGAGTCTCTCTCCAGCCAGACTCTCCAGGGTGACAGGGGAGGCACAGCTGGGCCAGGCTGCTGGGGAAAAAGAGCCTTCTCCCAAATGAGGCTGGGGGGGGAAAGCCATAGAAGGCAGCCTTTTACTTTATAAATAATTTTACTTTATAAATAATTTGTATACTTTTGCTTTCCTCAAAGCGGACGGTTGTTCATACATTAATAGCATTTGAGTTGAGGTTCCAAATTCTAAGCAAAATATTGTTAGGGTACATTCTGTATGGATTAGGAGCCTGTGGAATACGGAGAGGCAGTGTCACAACAGTGACTCGGGATGTGTGACAGAAGAGGGACCATGGACCCAAGAGCAGATTTACAAAGGTTCTACTGAAGTTTGTTTCACGATCGTGTGACCCCTCTGCCATTAGGGAAGTGAGAGGTCACCATTAAAATATTCAGCAGTTCATATAAAATTTGCAACAAAATGCTGTGTGAACATACACAGTCACATTGTTACAGCAGTCCTGACTCCACCAATCGTCTTCCTCATTTCCATGCAACGCGGTGCTTTGGACTGAGGCCTCGGGTAGACACCAGTCCTTCATTTATGTCTCCCTGAGAGCTTGCTCTTCTCCAGAGTTAAGCTTTCTCAAAACAGGATTTTTGGTGTTTTGTCACCTAATCTGCTTGTTGCTCCTAGCATGTCCTGCAAAAGTTCTCAGGCGGGTATGTACAGCTTTTGCTAAGACCATACTGGGTGTGCCAGTTCTGCAGGCTCCACCAAGTGCCATCACTCCACGTTGTGGTCTGTGGCAGTTAACAAGCTACCTAAAGAGTCTGAGCCTGGTGTGGGCACTTGGCCTCATTAACATAGAAAGAACTGTCTGGAGCCCATTTTTCACGAGAATACACACCTGGCTATGTAACATTACATTTTCCTCACCACTTTCCTTTATTTCATTTGTTTTATTTATAGTGGGTAGCTGCAACCACTTGGAAGAAAAAGCAGAAGAGGAGAGAGAAATGCTGCCCAAATCTTTGCAGTGTGATCAGTGTTAATAAAGCTTCTGACTGACCTCTTTTAAAATGCACTTGCGTTATTACACATTTGGAGTCACAGTATTCCCCAACACTCTAGTGCAGTCTTTGGCCATCCACCCACTGGCTGCTTCAGAGAAGGAATGAAAACGAAGAGGCTCTAACTCCAGTGGTCACCCTGCTGGCTAAAAAATCACCAGAGCTGAGGGTCACGCACAGAAAGTGGAAGGGGACGGTGCTCCCTGCACCTATAGCTGGATGACGTGGGAAGGTTCAGCCCAAGGAAAAGTCCTGGACAGTGCTGAGAGAAGTTGCAGCCTCCTTTCCTGCTCCTGGGGCAAGGCCTGGGGCCAGCACCCTGCAGTGACCCTCACAGCCTGCGGACTGCTCTGCCCGAATCTCCAGGGTGCAGCAGTCTCCTTGGGGAGGCAGCTCCCTGACAGGGCAGGCTGCAGCCCCTGTTGTGACACGCGATGAGGCAACAGCGGGGCCGTCTGTGACATCACACCACGTCCTGCTCAAAAGCCCTGTGCGCCGCGACCTGCCCTCACTTGGCTGCGAGGCCTTCAGGAGGCAGTGGCTGGTGCTGCTCTGCTGGTGCTGCCGCTGTGATCTTGAGGAGCTGCCTTGCAGAAAGGAGCCAAAGGCACTGGGAAGCAGCGTCCCCGCGTGGGACAATTCCTGCTGACGAGTGGAGGAGGCCCGGAGCGAGATGGAGGCCAGGAGTGCTCCCATCCTGTGCAACGGCCGCCTCATGTGTCCAACACTCATGCACCTCCAGGACGATGGTGAGCCCAACAGGAGGTGCCTGAGGAACAGGCAGCAGCGCAGCCCACTTGAGCTGCAGTTTCTTGTGGGGAGAGAGAGGGAGGGTCTGGGGACATAGACACTGGCCCCATTGGCCACGAGGACTGTGCTGGACGAGAAAGCTGGCTTGCAGTATGACGTCTCTTGCCCTTGCTTTTCAGAGATTGTGAAAGTTTGGGATGCAGTATCCCACTTCATCCGCAGGCAGTTTGCGCTGAACAAGGTGAGCTTGGCAGCCTCATCCTGCCCTCTTACTCTGCTCTTTCCCACAGCCCGCCTCCTCAAGCATCAGAAACACCCCAGCGGTGGCCTGCAAACTGCAGAGGTGCCAGGGGCCCCTTGCTGCTCTGGCAATATGCACAAAAGAAGAGCCCAGCTCCAGCAGAAGGACGGGGTCCATTCTGCCTGGTGCTTGTGTGTTGCCCGTGGCCAGAGTGGGCAGGCCAGCATGTCGCTGGTGCTGGCACTCAAGGCTTTCCCTGCTTGTTGGGAAAATCCGTGACATTGAGGCCATCTCCAGGGTTCTGCAGAGTGACACTGCCTGGCACCTTCTCGTGAGCAGTGGCCAAGGCATGAGGGCCCATCTTCTTGCTTGGAGAAGCCCCAGAAATACTGACCCGTGTTCCTGATTTCTTGCTTTTCAGGGTGTCACAGTACCTGGGCTGGGCACCTTCTTTGCTGTTAAACAGGACCGGCCCATGGCAGGCGTTAAGCTCCTTGATGCAAAGAAGCCCGTCTTCCAGGTTTCGGAGCACTTTGCCAATGTTCATGGGCTCCCTTACAAGAAAGAAACTTTTCCTGGTAAGAAGAGAGATGATTGTCTGGGCTCCCACGCGCGGGGACTTTGGGCTGCATGCTCAGCTGCTGCTGGGAGGGCAGTGGAGGGGTTCCACAGCTCCTCCAGGAGGTCCAGAGAAAGGCCTGAGCTCCTCTCAAGCCAAGGCCCATCAATGCCTTGCACGTCCCTCCAGACACCAGCTCCCAGAAACGTCCCTCCCCATCCTGTTGGCACCCTGATGGCTGCGTTGGTGGTTGACTTCTGCTCTAAGCAGTTCGGACAACAGCAGGTGCAGGCTGACACTGGGCATCAGCTTCTATGGCATCAGCGATGCCCCACGACTGTGCTGCCCCAGGCTCTTGGAGCTCTGTCTTTCAGGGATTCTCTTCCTCCAGACGAGCAGTCAGCAAGACAGCTCTGTAGCAGTGCTGGAGGGCCCAGAAGCTACCCAAATGGGACTGCCCTCCTCTGCAGGCCTGTCTTAGTTATTTTCTCCTTGCTTCCTCTCCCTCAGGAATACCTCCATTTGTTTTCCTGAATTATGCCTGGCTGTCCTTGGACATCGGCATTCCTCGGGACACCGTGCAGCGCTGCATTCAGGAGACCCTGCTCTTTCTCTCCTACAGCCTTGCAAAGAAGCAGGCTGTGGATTTCATCTTCAAGGACATCGGCCGTCTGGTCTTCCGCAAGAGCAGAGTCCAAATGCACTTTTCCTCCGACTTTGTTCACAACCTGAATAGCAACGGCCAGCTGTTGAAATGCCGCCTCACTGTAAGTTTCTCACTGCACCAGCACAGCCCAGGGCTCCTGGGAAATGCCCCGAGAGGCCGTTGGGAGGGACTTCTCCTTCTGGGTCAGACGCGTCTCCTGATGAGGCACAGGAGTCTGGCCCCTGCACAAAGCCAGGCAGTGATTTGCCGGGTGCAGGCACTTGCTGGGCAGCTTGTGCTGCTCGTAAAGGAGGGGTGAACACTAAGGCCTGCAAGCTCTGCCTGCGGGCTGCTTTCTGCCTGAGCAGCCGCGATGCCTCGTTGGCAAGGGCATCCCTTCCTGGCCATGGTCTCACCCACGACTGTCTCTCCTGCAGAGGTTAAGCACAACGGATTTGGCCACATCGGAGAGAAAAAGCATGGTCCCACACCCAGCTTCTCGAGGTGTCATCATCTTTCCCAGGTGGGTGCATTGCTTCTGCAGCCCTCGGCTGAGAGTTTTGGCAGCTTTTCAGCTCCTCTCCGGAAGGTCAGCAGTGCCAGGGCTTGCCCAGTGCTCATGGAGGAGCTGGAGGGGAGACTTCTCCAAGCACTGTTTCCTCCTCCACTCCACACCGATTCTTGCTTGTTTTGGACGAGGGGTCATTCTCTTTGTGTAGCTAGGGCTGGGGGAATGTCTATTGCCTGCCCAGCCCACAGCAAGCCCCTCTCAGACGCTGGCACCAAGACTAGCACCCTACAGCCCTAGAATATGGTGCCCTGGAGTCACACTGCCTTGGTCTTTCTTCCAGGATTGGGCTCTACATACCTCGGGGAAGAGCTGCAGGGGAAGGGTCTCTCCAAGCACCCAAGGGTTCTGCTTTGGAGAAGAAGGGAGACGCAAGTGTGGAGGGAGAGTCTACCAGAAGAGGTAATGTGAGAGCGGGCTCTTGGGAGTGACAGCCCCTGGGAGACCTCTCTGCCCTTCCCTTCTGAATGTCCTCCTGAGGGCAAGGGGTACAGAGGCGAGGCTGGAAGGCTGCGCTTTGCACAGGATGTGGCCCCTGCTCTGACCCCAGTTCCCTGCGGCAGTAGCTCTGCTGGGCCTTCGTAGGAACCAGAATGGCAGGGCAGCCCAGAGCTTCCCGTAGCATTCGACAGTGCTCAGGCCTCTTCCACGCTGGCCTCCTGGAGCTCCTGTCTACTGAAAGCCCCACTCTGGATGAGATGTGTCCAAAGGTAGAATGTGGGGTACAGTGGCAGCAGGGAGTCCCAGGACTCCCATCCCCACCTGAGCAGTTGCGAGCCCAATAAAGACTGTTACTTCCTGCTGGAGGGACCAGCACGGGCTTCGTAGTGTGCCGATTTCACAGAACACAGAATGGTTTTAGGATGGGAGCTACCTGAAGACGTCAGCTTGGCCAAACCCCTGCTCAAACTGGGCAACCCAGCACCAGTGTCCAAGGAGCATGTCCTGTGCAGATGACTCCCATCCCCACCCGTGAAATGCCAGTGGCCAAGGAGACTCCCTTCTAGGCCAACCCATCTCCCAGCTTGCTCTGCCTTTTACAAGTAGCACAGGATCCAGCAGGGAGGCTCATTCCCTGCCTCTTTGTGTGGCCACCAAGGAGCAGCACTGACGAGCCTTCTCGTTTCCTCCTTACAGGGATGCCTCCTATTAAGAGCCAGCTGCTTACACCCAAGAGTCTCTCTCTATCCAGACTCTCCAAGATGAAAGGGGAGGCATATCTGGGCCAGGCTGCAGGGGAAAAAGTGCCTTCACCCAGGTAAGGCTTGGGGGGAACTGGAGGAGGCAGCCCCTGGGCTCTTCTCCTTGAGTCATTGAGCGGCTTTCCTTGGCTCAGGGACTTAGTGAACTTTACAGAGGTCCCAACACATGTCCCACCAACTGCTGTTTCCTCGCTGGGCACCTGGTTGTTGAGCAAAATCTCTAGCAGCAAATCCTCCTCTTGTGTGCTTGCAGAATGCCAACAGCAAGTCAGGAGAGCAACTCAAAGATGGCAGAAGAGGGGAAGGGCAAGCACTGTGCTGCAGCCTGGCCCCAAAATCAAGCCCCTGCCTGTGAAGGTCAACGGAGAGCAGGACAGGTAGCCACTGGATCTGTGTGCCCATTGCCGGGTTGTTTCACGGGTTGACCTTTGTGGAGATTTGATGTTTCTCTGATCAGTTGCATGCCCTTCTCTCCTGTAGGAAATACGCTGCCTGTACCGCCAAGAAGATGAGAAAACTCTGCAGGCATTGTTGGTTGAGGAGCAGCTGAAGAAAGAATGGGAGAGACAGAACATGTGGGCACAGTGCAAGGCTCGTGGCAAAACGAACGGGGGAGAGAGTATCTGGGTATGCCAAGTGCTTTCAAGCACTCCAGAAAGAACCTTTCTCTTCTCTCAGGGGGCCATGTGAACACTCTTCCCCTCTTAGCTCTGCAAGGAAGCTTCTCTCCAAGAGAAAAATCTGCCCTTTCTGAGCCTTGTTTTATATTTTGAAGGGCGAGGGCTCCTCCAAAGCCCACTGCAGTGAAAGTGTTCTTGCCCTTAGCTTCAGAGGCCGAGGGCTGGGGCCTTTCATGCTGCCTTTCTGAGAGAAAGCAGGCTGCAGGGAAACTGCCCTGAGCCTGGGGAAACCCTGAGGGGACGACTGCCCCACTGCCATGGGACATCTCCCACGTTAGCACCCCCATCTAAAAATGTTCCTTCTTTCTTCTTCCCCTGTAGCAGAAGACGCAGATGGAAATGCAGAGGCTGCAGACAGAGAGTGCATCCTCCATGGCACTTGTGGAATGGAAAAAGTCTCTGCAGATGGTGCCAGTGGACATGAAACAGCAGCATGTCCTCGTCCCTCACCCGCCGGAGAAGAAGGCTGAGGCAGCTCCTCTGAGCAAACCAAGTGCCAGGTAAGTGTGGGCCAGCTTCCAAAAAAGGCCAGGAAAAGCTGAGCTGCAGCAGGCTGCCCGAGGGATCCAGCATGCGGGTTGCTCAGCTCTGGGCTTTGGCTCTCCATCCCCTGGCTGCCTCGCGGAGGGAATGACCATGGAGAGGCCCTGCCTCCAGCTGTCCCCCTGCAGACCCAAAGTCCTAAAGCTCCCCTGCAGCTGACAGTGACGCACCCACAATGGAAGGAGGCTGTGCTCCCTGCTTTTGGGCAGCCAGAGGTGGGGACCTTCAGAGCCCACCTGAGAGTTTATTTTCTCTGTTGCTGCAGCTGCCTTTCAGTGCGGACTGAGCGCATCAGGAAACAGCTGGTGAAGAGAAAAGAGGTCCTGCAGAAAGACAAGACCAAGAGCAGAGTTGTCCACATCCCTGGAAATTCTGCAGAGGATCTTCTGATTTGGTAAGCCTCTCCTGCAACAGCCTTCATTCCACTAGCAACAGTCCCTTCCTTGGGCAATGAGTCCCCTGGGCTCACGAGAACCCTTGCCCTGGCCTTCTGTAGCTGCTTGGCCAAAGGTCTCCAGCCCGGTCTCACACAGCGCCTCGGCCTGGCGCTGCGTAGATTCCCTGTCACTGGCTGGGACTCGAGGGGCCCCCGCAAGGCCACACAGAGCCTTGGGACTCCTGCATATGCACTCTGCACAGGACTGGGGCTGAAGGGAGCAGGGAGTGTCACTCCGCTGCCCTCACTGGAACAGAAACTTGAACCCTTTCTTTTTCTCTCCCTAGCGTTGGTGAGAAAATCCCTGTGCTTCCAATGCCAAAGATGACACGAGCATCAGGGAAACCAGCGAGGACCCCTCGCAGCTGTGAGCAGCTGCGAGCCCAATAAAGTCTTTTGCTTCCTGCTGGAAGGACCAGCACGGGCTTTGTAGTGTTCTGATTTCACAGAAACACAGAATGGTTGAGGTTGGAAGGTACCTGAAGAGGTCAGCTTGGCCAACCCCCTGCTCAAACATTGCTACCCAGCACCAGTGTCCAAGGAGCATGTCCTGTGGAGATGGCTTTCAAGTGTCTCCCCTTGAGGAGGGAGACTCTACAGCCTCACTGGAGAACCCGTGAGAGGACTCGCTCACCCACACACTACAGAAATGGATCCTGAGGTTCAGATGGAAGCCACTGTGTTTGCTTCTGTGCCCATCGCCTCCTGTCCTGTCATTGGGCTCCACTGAAATGAGCCTGGCTCCATTGCCTTTGCACCCTGCCCGCAGGCATGCAGTTATCCACTGATCCCCCCCTGAGCTTTCTCTTCTCCAGGCTAAACAGTCCCATCTCTCCCAGCCTCTCTTCATAGGAGAGATGCTCTGTTCCCTCAATAATCCACCTCACAATTTTTGTGGGACTGTTAAACAGTTCAAGTAGCACCACTCGTGGCCTGCCAAGACAGCCACGAAGGCCTCCTAGCTGAGGCTGCTGATTCTCCCTTGCTGAAAGCCAGGTGCCCTTAGGATCCAGCATCAGATCCTGCCTGTGCCTGGAGAGCTGGGAAGAGCTGGGAGCTCTTGATCCTTCCAGGGTGGAACTTCCAAGGTAACGGCTCACTGCAACCTTCCCTTTGGTCCCAGGAAAAAAAAAAAAAAAGCATCAAGCACCTGCCCTCACTCCTCACTCAGCCCAGAATTAGCAACAAGTCTTCCTTCCCTGCTGGTACTGCTGCCAAGGGAGCTTTGGAGTTAAGAGCCTCTTTTTGGGAAACGGCTTTTCCATGACCTCTTGGGTCTGCACATTGCCAAAAAACAGAGAGAGAGAGAGAGTTTGAAACTTGGGAGAAAGGAAGGAAAGCCAGCAGGGCCAAACACTATCCCAGGGACTTTAAATCTGCACAGCACAAAACTGAAGGACAAGTTGATTTTTTTTGTCACATCACTCATACAAGAAAGTGAAGAGCTCTCTTTCTCTCACATGCTCTCACAATTTTCATTCTCTCCTCCTAAAACTTTCGGGGACTTTGATCCCTCATCAGGCAGCCTCGATGCAAGTTGCTGTCAATTCCACTTGGGTGGAATACCTCTTGCTGAATTGCTGCCTTTGGCCTTAGAGATCCCAATCTATAGGCATCCTTTGAACTGATTTCCTCAAATCCCTTTTAAGCACATCATCCTGAAGTCTACTGAACCCGGCCCATGTAATCTGCTACGTCACATAATGCTGAAAGCTTGTGACCGAGTGAGGGTGCCACGGAGAAAACCTCCGTGTTGTGGGGCACACGCTCGTCCCTCACAGACCACGTGCGACGTGGCCATCTGACACATGGAGACACTGAGGGAGGGTGCCAGGCACAAGCTCTATATTAAACACTCGTGAAGCATTCCTTCTTCCTTATTCCCTTTCGAGATTTCATGAATAAACAAATGGCAGTTCTAGCATTTCCTTCCCACACCCAAATGGATCACCTTGCACACCCCCTGGGGCACTCTCGAGGATTGTATGGGACTGAAAGGAGAGAGTTTCCTTCTCAGTGCTGGCATGCTCGGCTCAGCTGTGGCCCTACAGGAAAGGGGATCTACAGGAAAGTGCTCCCTGAGTGCAGGGAGAGAGAGAGAAAAGCTGCTCCCTGACAGGGTGGCTCCAGCCCCACGCTCTGACAGCCCTGGCAGCCATTTGGCAGTTCTGCCTGCCCCCCGCGCCACAAGCTGGCTGAGGCCTTGGGCTGTCCCCAGCACGGCTGTCAGTGGTGTCGGGCGGCATCTAGAGCCAAGAGGCCTTTCTTCTTCTTTGTGCTGAAGGAAACTTTGTGCTGTCTGGAGCGAGCAGTGCCGCTTTTCTCCGCATTCCGGGGCTGTCATGGTAAGTGACATGGCCTCTCACTTTGAGGGCCCTGTTTTTCGTCAGCATTTGTGAGGGGCTTCTGCATCCCCCCCGCTCACTTGTTGCGGCCAGGGCTTCCCCCCAGGATGTCTGGGCAGGCCCATGCCGCTGGGCAGGCTCTGGGTGGGCCTTGTTCCCTGCAGGGGCAGGCGTCTGCCGCTGAGCCCAGAGCCCAGGAGCGGCTCCTGCACTCGCGGCTGCCCCTGCGCGGGCTGCTGCCGCTGCTTCTGGAACCTTCCTGCAGCCTCTGGCAGCTGGCGCCTGCTTGGCGGCCGCACGTTGGGCTTGGCAGCGTGGGATGAGCGGGCCGTGCCAGCCCGCAGCGTGGCATTGGCGGCCTTGTTGCCATCCCCAGGGCACGGCTGAAGGGGATATTGTGGGTTTGATTTGCAAGGACGGGGAGAATTTGGGATGCAGTATCCCACTTCATGCGCAGGCAGTTCGCACTGAACAAGGTGGGCTTTGCAGCCTCATGCTGCCCTCTTACTCCGCTCTTTCCCAGAGCTGCCACCCCACAGAACACACTTGTGGACCTGAAATCGAAGTCTCTGCAGATGGCAGCAGTGCCTATGAAGCAGCAGCATGTCCTCATCCCTCACCCCCCAGAGGAGAACACTGAGGCAGATCCTGTGAGGAAATCAATGCCAAGCAAGTGTGGGCCAGCTCCCACAAAGGCCAGGGAAAGCTGAGCTGCATCAGGCTGCCCGAGGGATCCAGCATGCGGGTCGCTCAGCTCTGGGCTTTGGCTCTCCATCCCCTGGCTGCTTCGGGGTCAGGCAATGACCATGGAGATGCCCTGCCTCCAGCTGTCCCCCTGCAGACCCAAAGTCCTGAAGCTCCCCTGCAGCTGACAGTCACACACCTCGTGTGGAAGGGAGCTGTGCCCACTTGTCCTGGGACCAGGGGAGGCCGAGTTGGCGTGTTAGGAAACAGCTGGGGAAGAGGAAGGAGGCCCTGCAGGAAGGCAGGACCAAGAGCAGAGCTGTGGACAGCCCCGGGAAGACTGTGGAGGAGCTCCCGCTCTGGTAGTCCTCTGCTGCAACAGCCTTCTTTCCACAGCCCCTTGTTCAGTGAGGCCTCTGGGCTCTCACTGGCACCCTTCTCCCTGAAGGGAGCAGGGAGTGTCACTCAGCTCTCCTCACTGGAGCAGAATCTTGAACCTTTCCAGAGAATCACAGAATGGCTTGGGTTGCAATTGATGTTAAAGATCTTCTATTCCCTCCCGCCCCTTGCCATGGGCAGGGATGCCATTCACTAGAGCAAGTAGCCCAGTGCCTCATCCAAACAGGTCTTGAAGACCTCCAGGGATGGGGCATCCACGGCTTCTCTGGGCAAGCTGTTCCAGTGCCTCACCACCCTCTGTGTGAAGAAGTTTTGTGGTCACCAAGGAGCAGCTCTGACTAGCCTTCTCTTTTCCTCCTGTCAGGGATGCCTCCTGCTATTAAGAGCCAGCTGCTCACACCCCAGAGTCGCTCTCCAGCCAGACTCCAGGGCGACAGGGGAGGCACAGCTGGGCCAGGCTGCTGGGGAAAAAGAGCCTTCTCCCAAATGAGGCTGGGGGAAAGCCATAGAAGGCATCCCCAGAGCTCTTCCCCTTGAGTCATCGAGAAGCTTTCCTTGCACGCAGGGACTTGGTGAACTCCACAATGGGCCTGACGCATGTCCCACTGACGGCAGTTTCCTGCCTGGGCACCCAGCAGGTGAGCAAAATCTCTTGCAGCAAATCCTCCTCTGTAAGGTAGCCGGTGTGGTCCACCTACCTGGGTTGTTAGAAGGGAAATGCTTCTGGAGATGTGACATTTTGACAATTATTGTGCCTTCTTCAGTGCCTTCTTCATGATTAAAGAGGAGCTCCCCATGGTGGGCTTTGAGCTCCTTGATGTACAGAAGCCCATCTTCCAGGTTTCAGAGACCTTTGCCAGTATTCATGGGCTCCCTTACAAGAAAGAAACTTTTCCGGGTAAGAAGAGAGATGAATGTCAGAGCTCCAATGTGCAAGGATGTGGGCTGCATGCTCAGCTGCTGCTGGGAAGGCAGTGCAGGGGTTACACAGCTCCTCCAGGAGATCCAGAGAAAAGCCTGAGTACCTCAGAAGCCAAAACCTGCCAATGCTTTGCACCTTCTGGCAGGCAGCAGCTGCCGGAAATGTCCCTCTCCATGCTGTTGGCACCCTGATGGCTGCGTTGGTGGTTGACTTCTCCTCTTGGCATCTGGCACAGCTGCAGGTGCAGAGCAGCAGCAGGGCATCAGTGCTGGAGAGCCCAGCAGCTACGCAAATGTGACTGCCCTCCTCTGCAGGCCTGTGTAGTTACTTTGCTCCTTGCTTCTTTTCTGTAAGGTGTAATTCGATTTGTTTTCCTGAATTATGCCTGGCTGTCCTTGGACACAAGGGCACATTGCAGTGCTGCATTGGGAGGGCCTTGTCCTTCTGGGTCAGACGCGTCTCCTGATGAGGCACAGGAGTCTGGCCCCTGCACAAAGCCAGGCAGTGATTTGCCGGGTGCAGGCACTTGCTGGGCAGCTTGTGCTGCTCGTAAAGGAGGGGTGAACACTAATGCCTGCAAACTCTGCCTGCGGGCTGCTTTCTGCCTGAGCAGCCGCGATGCCTCCGTTGGCAAGGGCATCCCTTCCTGGCCATGGTCTCAGCCACGACTGTCTCTCCTGCAGAGGCTAGGCACAACAGATTTGGCCACATGGGAGAGAAAAAGCATAGTCCCACATCCAGCTTCTCGAGGTGTCCTCATCTTTTCCACGTGGGCGCGTTGCTTCTGCAGCCCTCGGCTGAGCGTTTTGGCAGCTTTTCAGCTCCTCTCCGGAAGGTCAGCAGTGCCAGGGCTTGCCCAGTGCTCAGGGAGGAGCTGGAGGGAGACTTCTCCAAGCACTGTTTCCTCCTCCACTCCACACCGATTCTTGCTTGTTTTGGACGAGGGGTCATTCTCTTTGTGTAGCTAGGGCTGGGGGAATGTCTGTTGCCTGCCCAGCCCACAGCAAGCCCCTCTCGGATGCTGGCACCAAGACCAGCACCCTACAGCCCTAGGATGTGGTGCTCTGGAGTCACACTGCCTTGGTCTTTCTTCCAGGATTGGGCTCTACATACCTCATGGAAGAGCTGCAGGGAGAAGAGCCTCTCCAAGCACCCAAGGGTTTTGCTTTGGAAAAGAAGGGAGACACAACGATGGAGGGAGAGTCTACCAGAACAGGTAAGATTGACTCTCGTAAAGCTGACTCCACAAGCAGTAAGATTGTAAAGTAGGTATGTTTATGCAGCACTGGGCGGCACGGGGGGTAGTCCCACCAAAGTCGTGCGCCCCTAACACGGCAACTTGCTTTGGTTATATGCAGTAGAGATTTACATATGCATGAGGTTTCGCAGTATGCCTATACATATTCATAACCTGTCCCCGCTTAGTATTAAAATTAGTTCCAAGAAGTCATTTCCATAAGCTGCGCTTTCCATTCCCTCTGCGCTTGCGCGGTGCCTTCTGGTGGTGGGCACTGAGGGTCGTGAGGATGAAGTGAGATGTCTTCACCAGGGTTGAACTTTTCACCTCGTCTCCTTGCGCATGCTCTCTGAGGCCTTGGTCATAATCTGGGCCATAAGGTTGGTTTGGTCCAGTTCTCCGGGCCTGAGGGGCTCCTGTTATCTGGAGGCCTTGCATGTTTGACATTTTTTATCTTGTCCTTTTAAGAACAGTGCTCCTTTTCTCTGAGCCCTTGGTCACAGTCCGAACCATAAGGTTGGTTTGATCTGGTTCTTGGAGTCCCAGGGGCTTTGCCGATATTTATGGACTCCCTGAAAAGAAAGAAACTTTTCCTGGTAAGAAAGGAGATAACTTGCAGGACCCCCACGCGCGGGGACTTTGGGCTGCATGCTCAGCTGCTGCTGGGAGGCTCAGGGAGCGAGATAGGGACAGCAGTGTGACGGGATGGCACCGAGAGCACCAGGATGAGGAGAACGGTGCTGGAGCGAGTCGGCCAGCTGGCCCCGAGCCCCTCCGACCTGGACACAATTATTCCCAAACCTGGGGCTTCTCCAAGAAGAGCCCACCCCCAGGACAGCCAAAGCCCACGTGGCCCTGGCAGTTCTGTGCCCAGAGGCACAAAGAGCAGCGTGGCCTAATTCAACCTGGCTGTGCGCAGCCAGGAGCTGCCTCCACCGTCCCTCCATGCGGACAGGCTGCCGGTGCGGTCGTGCCCAGAGAGCGTGCGTCACACTGGCAGCTGCCACACGGAGTCGGGAGCCCCAGGAGGGTTCGGTCGAACATCTTTGGCAGCCCTGGCAGCCTGCGATGAGCAGGCAGCACTCGCAGGAGGAGACAGGCAGGGCATTACCCTGGCAGGCTGAGCCCCGCTCTGCGTGGGCAGCTGCCAGGGCGTGCCGGGGGCCGCTGCAGGGCAGCTCACAGCAGCACTTCTAGGGGGGACGTGGAGGGAAATGGCAGAAATGGCCCAAATAACTTGGACTTTCTCCTCGCCTTCTCTTGCAGATGGAGAAGAAACTGCCACACCGTGGGTTGCGGGGGGCCGAGAGAATCCAGCTGCCAGCCGTGCCGGCTTTCCCAAGGCTGGCAGCGACTCTCAAGCAAGTGCCTAAAGCAGAGACATCATCATCTGAAAAGGCCACTTGCAAGCTGCCCCCTCTGCAAGCAGCAGCCTCTGCAACTTCTGCCAGAGGAAGAGCAAAGGCATTGGGTACAGAGGCCCTCAGCCACCGAGAGCTTCTGCCACCTCTTCCATGCGTCTCTGCTGAGAGGGAGAGGGCAGTGAGGGCAGAGAGGTGGGAACGTGTCCCACACAGCCCTGTGGCCCCTGCTGAGGATGTGGAGTACTCAGTACGGTCCTTCGTCTCCACAGTCATAAGAAATGCTGTAGCCGAGAGCAAGGCAAGGCTTGCTCCATCAGGCAGAGGTCCCAGGACCACAGGCCACAGAACTCCAACTCTCCCCACAGCAGTGCCCCGGCATTTGAAGAAGAGCCGGCACCCTGCCCCACACAGCCCCACCGACTCTTTTACGGCGCTGCAGGACACAGCACTGTCTGTTGTGTCTGAAGCCATGTCAAAGGCGATGGCTAAAATGCGGCAACAAGGCCAACGACCAGCAGCAATGCTTTCTTTGGGCACAGAGTCTGGGTGAACTCCACAGGTGTTCTGACACAGGTCCATCTCATGCCTTGTTCCTTGCTGGGTGTCTGGTTAATAAGCAACAGCTTTTGCCACCAAATCCTCCACTTGTGTGCTTGCAGATTGCAAAACAGTGTGTTAGGGATTGCCTTCTGCTCTTGGCAGCTGGCACAGCTGCAGGTGTAGGGCAGCAGCAGGGCATCAGATGCTGTGGCATCAGTGACACACCATGATTGTGCTGCACCAGCCTCTTGGAGCTCTGCCTTTTAGGCATTTCCTTCTTTCCACAGGAGCCATCAGCCAGCCAGCTCTTTCACAGTGCTGGTGGACCCAACAGATGCCCATACGTGACTGCCCTCCTCTGCAGGCCAGTCTTAGTTACTCAGAAGCTCCTTGCTGCTTTTCCCTTAGGTGTACCTTCAGTTGGTGTCCTGAATTATGCCTGCCTGTCCTTGGACACCAGGACATGCTCCTCCGCAAGAGCAAAGTCCAAGCACAGTTTTCCACAGCCTGGAAAAACCATGGGCTGGGGGAATGGCTCTTCCCTTCCCAGCCCACAGCAAACCCCTCTCGGATGGCACCAAGACCAGCGCTCTACAGCATTGAAAGCGGTGCCCTGGAGTCACACTGCCTTAGTTTTGCTTCCATGATTGGGCTCCACATACCTCATGGAGGAGTTGCAGGGGAAGCTCCCCTCTGTGTTGCAGAGCACACACTTGTCCCTCAGGACACCTCAGAGACCATGCGTGATGTGGCCAGTACGCATATGGAACCTACACTAATGATTCTTCGGAGACCTGATGAACATACAAGAGACTTACAGGAAATTAATTGAATATGTATTTGTCCCACTACTATAAGCATGCTGCCAGTAACTGTTGGTGTGCAAGTGAGGTGGAGCTATCCCCCTTGCATCTGGCGTGTGTGCACAGCACCGAATAAACATACCTACTTTACAACTTTACAGGTTGTGGAGTCTGTTTTCTGCAAGTCAGTTTGTCAAGCCAGCCAGGAGACACTCTGCTCGGCTGCGGGATCGGACGCCCCTAGGCGCGCCCTGGGTATTTTCCTCAGAGGAGCCTCCGCTCCCAGCCGCTCCCTGTGGGAGCAGACCATGACCTCCTGAAGCTGCAGACAAGCGGTATGTTTAACAAAGGGGGCCAGTAAGTCATAGGGGGCACCTGCTCTTGGCCGGGGCCACCAATAAACCTTGCTGAGATGTCTGGCGTACGGCATAGTCCCTGTAAGGGAGGAGGGTACCCTACAGGCTGATCGACAGAATGGTCAGAGGGGATTTGCTGACCGATAGGGTGGCCGCTAGCAATCTTGGGAGCAGACTGAGCAAATCCAAGGTCACCGCTGCGTCCTAGTATTGGGAGCCAGGATGTACCTGCTAATGACTGTAGAAGAAGCAGGAGAAGGGTAAGCGGGCCTCTCCCAGTTGTGACAAGGTTACCTGGGTGAATTTTGCAGCTGCTGGAGGGATATGAACTGGAGTGGTAATACTGTATGTCTTATTTGTAAATGTCTGGTGACTGAGTCCCAAATAGGACTGCAATTAAAGTTTACAATTTATTAAAAGAACAGAGGCAAGCAAACAGCGCTGGGTGCGCCAGGAGTCTCTGCTCCAGCAAGACGCACACCAGTTACATCAAGCAGCTGATTTTTATGCTACCAGGCTAATACATATTCATTACTACTTCTAGAAAAAAAAGGGTTATTATAATTAGTTTCCGGAATCCAAGCCCTCCTACTGGAGCATGTGTATCAGTCTCCAGTGGTGTCTCTGGGGGTCTCTGGGGGTCTCTCGTGCTGAAGGCTCTTAGTCTTCCTCCCAGGGTTTTTTTCTTGTCCTTCTCCTTTGTCCATCTTGGCCGGATGTCAGACTTGCGCAGCGTCCCATGCAAACTTTGTCTTTTAGTTGTCCTTTGGCTTTCCCCTTCTCCTTAATCTCTTGGCCAGATATCAGAGACTTGTGTAGTATCCTAAGCAACAGTCATCATAGTTAGCAGTTATTCTGAAACCCCTTTGTTCTCTTATCCCCTATTGACACGAATTGCTGGACCATTCCTTTGCAAGATACAAGATCTATATACATTAACCACTCTGTTCTTCTTAGACTTGTGGTTATACAAGGGTATGTAAGACAGAAGGTCACATTCATCATACCATGCGGCCCTAGCATTTTTCCATATTGACACAAATCTGATGAACACATTTCTCAGGTGTGGAAAGAAAATTCTAGAATTTGCTTTTATTTTTTTTAAATCTTGAAAAGAAATAAGAAAGAAGCAATGTACTGTCTACAGTGCAGAAGCAGCACCACGAGAAAGAGAAGAGGCTTCTCCCTTGGATGTAGGCCCTGTGTGGGATGCCAAATAAGCCATTCTCTCTGAAGCAGCAGCTTCAGCGTCCTCCTCACAGGCCTCTCCTGAGGAAGTGTGCAGCTCATCCATATTCTCTCTGTCACAGGGTGCCTCCTCCCAGAGCAAAGACTGTAGACTGTACTTCCTCAGCCTCTTCCTTGGCTGGAGGCCCTGTGGGGGAGCCCAGCAAAGCCCCTCTCACTGCAGAAGCAGCACCATAAGAAGGAGAAATGGCTCCTCTCTCGGCTGGAGACTCTGTGTGGGATGTCAATCCTCACCACCCTCTTTGTGAAGAATTTTTGTGGCCACCAAGGAGCAGCTCTGACTAGCCTTGTCGTATTCTCTTTACAGGGATGCCTCCTGCTATTAAGAGCCGGCTGCTCACACACCAGAGTCTCTCTCCAGCCAGACTCTCCAGGGTGACAGGGGAGGCACAGCTGGGCCAGGCTGCTGGGGAAAAAGAGCCTTCTCCCAAATGAGGCTGGGGGGGGAAAGCCATAGAAGGCAGCCTTTTACTTTATAAATAATTTTACTTTATAAATAATTTGTATACTTTTGCTTTCCTCAAAGCGGACGGTTGTTCATACATTAATAGCATTTGAGTTGAGGTTCCAAATTCTAAGCAAAATATTGTTAGGGTACATTCTGTATGGATTAGGAGCCTGTGGAATACGGAGAGGCAGTGTCACAACAGTGACTCGGGACGTGTGACAGAAGAGGGACCATGGACCCAAGAGCAGATTTACAAAGGTTCTACTGAAGTTTGTTTCACGATCGTGTGACCCCTCTGCCATTAGGGAAGTGAGAGGTCACCATTAAAATATTCAGCAGTTCATATAAAATTTGCAACAAAATGCTGTGTGAACATACACAGTCACATTGTTACAGCAGTCCTGACTCCACCAATCGTCTTCCTCATTTCCATGCAACGCGGTGCTTTGGACTGAGGCCTCGGGTAGACACCAGTCCTTCATTTATGTCTCCCTGAGAGCTTGCTCTTCTCCAGAGTTAAGCTTTCTCAAAACAGGATTTTTGGTGTTTTGTCACCTAATCTGCTTGTTGCTCCTAGCATGTCCTGCAAAAGTTCTCAGGCGGGTATGTACAGCTTTTGCTAAGACCATACTGGGTGTGCCAGTTCTGCAGGCTCCACCAAGTGCCATCACTCCACGTTGTGGTCTGTGGCAGTTAACAAGCTACCTAAAGAGTCTGAGCCTGGTGTGGGCACTTGGCCTCATTAATATAGAAAGAACTGTCTGGAGCCCATTTTTCACGAGAATGCACACCTGGCTATGTAACATTACATTTTCCTCACCACTTTCCTTTATTTCATTTGTTTTATTTATAGTGGGTAGCTGCAACCACTTGGAAGAAAAAGCAGAAGAGGAGAGAGAAATGCTGCCCAAATCTTTGCAGTGTGATCAGTGTTAATAAAGATTCTGACTGACCTCTTTTAAAATGCACTTGCGTTATTACACATTTGGAGTCACAGTATTCCCCAACACTCTAGTGCAGTCTTTGGCCATCCACCCACTGGCTGCTTCAGAGAAGGAATGAAAACGAAGAGGCTCTAACTCCAGTGGTCACCCTGCTGGCTAAAAAATCACCAGAGCTGAGGGTCACGCACAGAAAGTGGAAGGGGACGGTGCTCCCTGCACCTATAGCTGGATGACGTGGGAAGGTTCAGCCCAAGGAAAAGTCCTGGACAGTGCTAAGAGAAGTTGCAGCCTCCTTTCCTGCTCCTGGGGCAAGGCCTGGGGCCAGCACCCTGCAGTGACCCTCACAGCCTGCGGACTGCTCTGCCCGAATCTCCAGGGTGCAGCAGTCTCCTTGGGGAGGCAGCTCCCTGACAGGGCAGGCTGCAGCCCCTGTTGTGACACGCGATGAGGCAACAGCGGGGCCGTCTGTGACATCACACCACGTCCTGCTCAAAAGCCCTGTGCGCCGCGACCTGCCCTCACTTGGCTGCGAGGCCTTCAGGAGGCAGTGGCTGGTGCTGCTCTGCTGGGGCTGCCGCTGTGATCTTGAGGAGCTGCCTTGCAGAAAGGAGCCAAAGGCACTGGGAAGCAGCGTCCCCGCGTGGGACAATTCCTGCTGACGAGTGGAGGAGGCCCGGAGCGAGATGGAGGCCAGGAGTGCTCCCATCCTGTGCAACGGCCGCCTCATGTGTCCAACACTCATGCACCTCCAGGACGATGGTGAGCCCAACAGGAGGTGCCTGAGGAACAGGCAGCAGCGCAGCCCACTTGAGCTGCAGTTTCTTGTGGGGAGAGAGAGGGAGGGTCTGGGGACATAGACACTGGCCCCATTGGCCACGAGGACTGTGCTGGACGAGAAAGCTGGCTTGCAGTATGACGTCTCTTGCCCTTGCTTTTCAGAGATTGTGAAAGTTTGGGATGCAGTATCCCACTTCATCCGCAGGCAGTTTGCGCTGAACAAGGTGAGCTTGGCAGCCTCATCCTGCCCTCTTACTCTGCTCTTTCCCACAGCCCGCCTCCTCAAGCATCAGAAACACCCCAGCGGTGGCCTGCAAACTGCAGAGGTGCCAGGGGCCCCTTGCTGCTCTGGCAATATGCACAAAAGAAGAGCCCAGCTCCAGCAGAAGGACGGGGTCCATTCTGCCTGGTGCTTGTGTGTTGCCCGTGGCCAGAGTGGGCAGGCCAGCATGTCGCTGGTGCTGGCACTCAAGGCTTTCCCTGCTTGTTGGGAAAATCCGTGACATTGAGGCCATCTCCAGGGTTCTGCAGAGTGACACTGCCTGGCACCTTCTCGTGAGCAGTGGCCAAGGCATGAGGGCCCATCTTCTTGCTTGGAGAAGCCCCAGAAATACTGACCCGTGTTCCTGATTTCTTGCTTTTCAGGGTGTCACAGTACCTGGGCTGGGCACCTTCTTTGCTGTTAAACAGGACCGGCCCATGGCAGGCGTTAAGCTCCTTGACGCAAAGAAGCCCGTCTTCCAGGTTTCGGAGCACTTTGCCAATGTTCATGGGCTCCCTTACAAGAAAGAAACTTTTCCTGGTAAGAAGAGAGATGATTGTCTGGGCTCCCACGCGCGGGGACTTTGGGCTGCATGCTCAGCTGCTGCTGGGAGGGCAGTGGAGGGGTTCCACAGCTCCTCCAGGAGGTCCAGAGAAAGGCCTGAGCTCCTCTCAAGCCAAGGCCCATCAATGCCTTGCACGTCCCTCCAGACACCAGCTCCCAGAAACGTCCCTCCCCATCCTGTTGGCACCCTGATGGCTGCGTTGGTGGTTGACTTCTGCTCTAAGCAGTTCGGACAACAGCAGGTGCAGGCTGACACTGGGCATCAGCTTCTATGGCATCAGCGATGCCCCACGACTGTGCTGCCCCAGGCTCTTGGAGCTCTGTCTTTCAGGGATTCTCTTCCTCCAGACGAGCAGTCAGCAAGACAGCTCTGTAGCAGTGCTGGAGGGCCCAGAAGCTACCCAAATGGGACTGCCCTCCTCTGCAGGCCTGTCTTAGTTATTTTCTCCTTGCTTCCTCTCCCTCAGGAATACCTCCATTTGTTTTCCTGAATTATGCCTGGCTGTCCTTGGACATCGGCATTCCTCGGGACACCGTGCAGCGCTGCATTCAGGAGACCCTGCTCTTTCTCTCCTACAGCCTTGCAAAGAAGCAGGCTGTGGATTTCATCTTCAAGGACATCGGCCGTCTGGTCTTCCGCAAGAGCAGAGTCCAAATGCACTTTTCCTCCGACTTTGTTCACAACCTGAATAGCAACGGCCAGCTGTTGAAATGCCGCCTCACTGTAAGTTTCTCACTGCACCAGCACAGCCCAGGGCTCCTGGGAAATGCCCCGAGAGGCCGTTGGGAGGGACTTCTCCTTCTGGGTCAGACGCGTCTCCTGATGAGGCACAGGAGTCTGGCCCCTGCACAAAGCCAGGCAGTGATTTGCCGGGTGCAGGCACTTGCTGGGCAGCTTGTGCTGCTCGTAAAGGAGGGGTGAACACTAAGCCCTGCAAGCTCTGCCTGCGGGCTGCTTTCTGCCTGAGCAGCCGCGATGCCTTCGTTGGCAAGGGCATCCCTTCCTGGCCATGGTCTCACCCACGACTGTCTCTCCTGCAGAGGTTAAGCACAACGGATTTGGCCACATCGGAGAGAAAAAGCATGGTCCCACACCCAGCTTCTCGAGGTGTCATCATCTTTCCCAGGTGGGTGCATTGCTTCTGCAGCCCTCGGCTGAGAGTTTTGGCAGCTTTTCAGCTCCTCTCCGGAAGGTCAGCAGTGCCAGGGCTTGCCCAGTGCTCATGGAGGAGCTGGAGGGGGACTTCTCCAAGCACTGTTTCCTCCTCCACTCCACACCGATTCTTGCTTGTTTTGGACGAGGGGTCATTCTCTTTGTGTAGCTAGGGCTGGGGGAATGTCTATTGCCTGCCCAGCCCACAGCAAGCCCCTCTCAGACGCTGGCACCAAGACTAGCACCCTACAGCCCTAGAATATGGTGCCCTGGAGTCACACTGCCTTGGTCTTTCTTCCAGGATTGGGCTCTACATACCTCGGGGAAGAGCTGCAGGGGAAGGGTCTCTCCAAGCACCCAAGGGTTCTGCTTTGGAGAAGAAGGGAGACGCAAGTGTGGAGGGAGAGTCTACCAGAAGAGGTAATGTGAGAGCGGGCTCTTGGGAGTGACAGCCCCTGGGAGACCTCTCTGCCCTTCCCTTCTGAATGTCCTCCTGAGGGCAAGGGGTACAGAGGCGAGGCTGGAAGGCTGTGCTTTGCACAGGATGTGGCCCCTGCTCTGACCCCAGTTCCCTGCGGCAGTAGCTCTGCTGGGCCTTCGTAGGAACCAGAATGGCAGGGCAGCCCAGAGCTTCCCGTAGCATTCGACAGTGCTCAGGCCTCTTCCACGCTGGCCTCCTGGAGCTCCTGTCTACTGAAAGCCCCACTCTGGATGAGATGTGTCCAAAGGTAGAATGTGGGGTACAGTGGCAGCAGGGAGTCCCAGGACTCCCATCCCCACCTGAGCAGTTGCGAGCCCAATAAAGACTGTTACTTCCTGCTGGAGGGACCAGCACGGGCTTCGTAGTGTGCCGATTTCACAGAACACAGAATGGTTTTAGGATGGGAGCTACCTGAAGACGTCAGCTTGGCCAAACCCCTGCTCAAACTGGGCAACCCAGCACCAGTGTCCAAGGAGCATGTCCTGTGCAGATGACTCCCATCCCCACCCGTGAAATGCCAGTGGCCAAGGAGACTCCCTTCTAGGCCAACCCATCTCCCAGCTTGCTCTGCCTTTTACAAGTAGCACAGGATCCAGCAGGGAGGCTCATTCCCTGCCTCTTTGTGTGGCCACCAAGGAGCAGCACTGACGAGCCTTCTCGTTTCCTCCTTACAGGGATGCCTCCTATTAAGAGCCAGCTGCTTACACCCAAGAGTCTCTCTCTATCCAGACTCTCCAAGATGAAAGGGGAGGCATATCTGGGCCAGGCTGCAGGGGAAAAAGTGCCTTCACCCAGGTAAGGCTTGGGGGGAACTGGAGGAGGCAGCCCCTGGGCTCTTCTCCTTGAGTCATTGAGCGGCTTTCCTTGGCTCAGGGACTTAGTGAACTTTACAGAGGTCCCAACACATGTCCCACCAACTGCTGTTTCCTCGCTGGGCACCTGGTTGTTGAGCAAAATCTCTAGCAGCAAATCCTCCTCTTGTGTGCTTGCAGAATGCCAACAGCAAGTCAGGAGAGCAACTCAAAGATGGCAGAAGAGGGGAAGGGCAAGCACTGTGCTGCAGCCTGGCCCCAAAATCAAGCCCCTGCCTGTGAAGGTCAACGGAGAGCAGGACAGGTAGCCACTGGATCTGTGTGCCCATTGCCGGGTTGTTTCACGGGTTGCCTTTGTGGAGATTTGATGTTTCTCTGATCGTTGCATGCCCTTCTCTCCTGTAGGAAATACGCTGCCTGTACCGCCAAGAAGATGAGAAAACTCTGCAGGCATTGTTGGTTGAGGAGCAGCTGAAGAAAGAATGGGAGAGACAGAACATGTGGGCACAGTGCAAGGCTCGTGGCAAAACGAACGGGGGAGAGAGTATCTGGGTATGCCAAGTGCTTTCAAGCACTCCAGAAAGAACCTTTCTCTTCTCTCAGGGGGCCATGTGAACACTCTTCCCCTCTTAGCTCTGCAAGGAAGCTTCTCTCCAAGAGAAAAATCTGCCCTTTCTGAGCCTTGTTTTATATTTTGAAGGGCGAGGGCTCCTCCAAAGCCCACTGCAGTGAAAGTGTTCTTGCCCTTAGCTTCAGAGGCCGAGGGCTGGGGCCTTTCATGCTGCCTTTCTGAGAGAAAGCAGGCTGCAGGGAAACTGCCCTGAGCCTGGGGAAACCCTGAGGGGACGACTGCCCCACTGCCATGGGACATCTCCCACGTTAGCACCCCCATCTAAAAATGTTCCTTCTTTCTTCTTCCCCTGTAGCAGAAGACGCAGATGGAAATGCAGAGGCTGCAGACAGAGAGTGCATCCTCCATGGCACTTGTGGAATGGAAAAAGTCTCTGCAGATGGTGCCAGTGGACATGAAACAGCAGCATGTCCTCGTCCCTCACCCGCCGGAGAAGAAGGCTGAGGCAGCTCCTCTGAGCAAACCAAGTGCCAGGTAAGTGTGGGCCAGCTTCCAAAAAAGGCCAGGAAAAGCTGAGCTGCAGCAGGCTGCCCGAGGGATCCAGCATGCGGGTTGCTCAGCTCTGGGCTTTGGCTCTCCATCCCCTGGCTGCCTCGCGGAGGGAATGACCATGGAGAGGCCCTGCCTCCAGCTGTCCCCCTGCAGACCCAAAGTCCTAAAGCTCCCCTGCAGCTGACAGTGACGCACCCACAATGGAAGGAGGCTGTGCTCCCTGCTTTTGGGCAGCCAGAGGTGGGGACCTTCAGAGCCCACCTGAGAGTTTATTTTCTCTGTTGCTGCAGCTGCCTTTCAGTGCGGACTGAGCGCATCAGGAAACAGCTGGTGAAGAGAAAAGAGGTCCTGCAGAAAGACAAGACCAAGAGCAGAGTTGTCCACATCCCTGGAAATTCTGCAGAGGATCTTCTGATTTGGTAAGCCTCTCCTGCAACAGCCTTCATTCCACTAGCAACAGTCCCTTCCTTGGGCAATGAGTCCCCTGGGCTCACGAGAACCCTTGCCCTGGCCTTCTGTAGCTGCTTGGCCAAAGGTCTCCAGCCCGGTCTCACACAGCGCCTCGGCCTGGCGCTGCGTAGATTCCCTGTCACTGGCTGGGACTCGAGGGGCCCCCGCAAGGCCACACAGAGCCTTGGGACTCCTGCATATGCACTCTGCACAGGACTGGGGCTGAAGGGAGCAGGGAGTGTCACTCCGCTGCCCTCACTGGAACAGAAACTTGAACCCTTTCTTTTTCTCTCCCTAGCGTTGGTGAGAAAATCCCTGTGCTTCCAATGCCAAAGATGACACGAGCATCAGGGAAACCAGCGAGGACCCCTCGCAGCTGTGAGCAGCTGCGAGCCCAATAAAGTCTTTTGCTTCCTGCTGGAAGGACCAGCACGGGCTTTGTAGTGTTCTGATTTCACAGAAACACAGAATGGTTGAGGTTGGAAGGTACCTGAAGAGGTCAGCTTGGCCAACCCCCTGCTCAAACATTGCTACCCAGCACCAGTGTCCAAGGAGCATGTCCTGTGGAGATGGCTTTCAAGTGTCTCCCCTTGAGGAGGGAGACTCTACAGCCTCACTGGAGAACCCGTGAGAGGACTCGCTCACCCACACACTACAGAAATGGATCCTGAGGTTCAGATGGAAGCCACTGTGTTTGCTTCTGTGCCCATCGCCTCCTGTCCTGTCATTGGGCTCCACTGAAATGAGCCTGGCTCCATTGCCTTTGCACCCTGCCCGCAGGCATGCAGTTATCCACTGATCCCCCCCTGAGCTTTCTCTTCTCCAGGCTAAACAGTCCCATCTCTCCCAGCCTCTCTTCATAGGAGAGATGCTCTGTTCCCTCAATAATCCACCTCACAATTTTTGTGGGACTGTTAAACAGTTCAAGTAGCACCACTCGTGGCCTGCCAAGACAGCCACGAAGGCCTCCTAGCTGAGGCTGCTGATTCTCCCTTGCTGAAAGCCAGGTGCCCTTAGGATCCAGCATCAGATCCTGCCTGTGCCTGGAGAGCTGGGAAGAGCTGGGAGCTCTTGATCCTTCCAGGGTAGAACTTCCAAGGTAACGGCTCACTGCAACCTTCCCTTTGGTCCCAGGAAAAAAAAAAAAAAAGCATCAAGCACCTGCCCTCACTCCTCACTCAGCCCAGAATTAGCAACAAGTCTTCCTTCCCTGCTGGTACTGCTGCCAAGGGAGCTTTGGAGTTAAGAGCCTCTTTTTGGGAAACGGCTTTTCCATGACCTCTTGGGTCTGCACATTGCCAAAAAACAGAGAGAGAGAGAGAGTTTGAAACTTGGGAGAAAGGAAGGAAAGCCAGCAGGGCCAAACACTATCCCAGGGACTTTAAATCTGCACAGCACAAAACTGAAGGACAAGTTGATTTTTTTTGTCACATCACTCATACAAGAAAGTGAAGAGCTCTCTTTCTCTCACATGCTCTCACAATTTTCATTCTCTCCTCCTAAAACTTTCGGGGACTTTGATCCCTCATCAGGCAGCCTCGATGCAAGTTGCTGTCAATTCCACTTGGGTGGAATACCTCTTGCTGAATTGCTGCCTTTGGCCTTAGAGATCCCAATCTATAGGCATCCTTTGAACTGATTTCCTCAAATCCCCTTTAAGCACATCATCCTGAAGTCTACTGAACCCGGCCCATGTAATCTGCTACGTCACATAATGCTGAAAGCTTGTGACCGAGTGAGGGTGCCACGGAGAAAACCTCCGTGTTGTGGGGCACACGCTCGTCCCTCACAGACCACGTGCGACGTGGCCATCTGACACATGGAGACACTGAGGGAGGGTGCCAGGCACAAGCTCTATATTAAACACTCGTGAAGCATTCCTTCTTCCTTATTCCCTTTCGAGATTTCATGAATAAACAAATGGCAGTTCTAGCATTTCCTTCCCACACCCAAATGGATCACCTTGCACACCCCCTGGGGCACTCTCGAGGTTTGTATGGGACTGAAAGGAGAGAGTTTCCTTCTCAGTGCTGGCATGCTCGGCTCAGCTGTGGCCCTACAGGAAAGGGGATCTACAGGAAAGTGCTTCCTGAGTGCAGGGAGAGAGAGAGAAAAGCTGCTCCCTGACAGGGTGGCTCCAGCCCCACGCTCTGACAGCCCTGGCGGCCATTTGGCAGTTCTGCCTGCCCCCCGCGCCACAAGCTGGCTGAGGCCTTGGGCTGTCCCCAGCACGGCTGCCAGTGGTGTCGGGCAGCATCTAGAGCCAAGAGGCCTTTCTTCTTCTTTGTGCTGAAGGAAACTTTGTGCTGTCTGGAGCGAGCAGTGCCGCTTTTCTCCGCATTCCGGGGCTGTCATGGTAAGTGACATGGCCTCTCACTTTGAGGGCCCTGTTTTTCGTCAGCATTTGTGAGGGGCTTCTGCATGCCCCCCGCTCACTTGTTGCGGCCAGGGCTTCCCCCCAGGATGTCTGGGCAAGGCCCATGCCGCTGGGCAGGCTCTGGGTGGGCCTCGTCCCCTGCAGGGGCAGGTGTCTGCCGCTGAGCCCAGAGCCCAGGAGCGGCTCCTGCACTCGCGGCTGCCCCTGCGCGGGCTGCTGCCGCTGCTTCTGGAACCTTCCTGCAGCCTCTGGCAGCTGGCGCCTGCTTGGCGGCCGCACGTTGGGCTTGTCAGCGTGGGATGAGCGGGCCGTGCCAGCTCGCAGCGTGGCATTGGCGGCCTTGTTGCCATCCCCAGGGCACGGCTGAAGGGGATATTGTGGGTTTGATTTGCAAGGACGGGGAGAATTTGGGATGCAGTATCCCACTTCATGCGCAGGCAGTTCGCACTGAACAAGGTGGGCTTTGCAGCCTCATGCTGCCCTCTTACTCTGCTCTTTCCCAGAGCTGCCACCCCACAGAACACACTTGTGGACCTGAAATCGAAGTCTCTGCAGATGGCAGCAGCGCCTATGAAGCAGCAGCATGTCCTCATCCCTCACCCCCCCAGAGGAGAACACTGAGGCAGATCCTGTGAGGAAATCAATGCCAAGCAAGTGTGGGCCAGCTCCCACAAAGGCCAGGGAAAGTTGAGCTGCATCAGGCTGCCCGAGGGATCCAGCATGCGGGTCGCTCAGCTCTGGGCTTTGGCTCTCCATCCCCTGGCTGCTTCGGGGTCAGGCAATGACCATGGAGATGCCCTGCCTCCAGCTGTCCCCCTGCAGACCCAAAGTCCTGAAGCTCCCCTGCAGCTGACAGTCACACACCTCGTGTGGAAGGGAGCTGTGCCCACTTGTCCTGGGACCAGGGGAGGCCGAGTTGGCGTGTTAGGAAACAGCTGGGGAAGAGGAAGGAGGCCCTGCAGGAAGGCAGGACCAAGAGCAGAGCTGTGGACAGCCCCGGGAAGACTGTGGAGGAGCTCCCGCTCTGGTAGTCCTCTGCTGCAACAGCCTTCTTTCCACAGCCCCTTGTTCAGTGAGGCCTCTGGGCTCTCACTGGCACCCTTCTCCCTGAAGGGAGCAGGGAGTGTCACTCAGCTCTCCTCACTGGAGCAGAATCTTGAACCTTTCCAGAGAATCACAGAATGGCTTGGGTTGCAATTGATGTTAAAGATCTTCTATTCCCTCCCGCCCCTTGCCATGGGCAGGGATGCCATTCACTAGAGCAAGTAGCCCAGTGCCTCATCCAAACAGGTCTTGAAGACCTCCAGGGATGGGGCATCCACGGCTTCTCTGGGCAAGCTGTTCCAGTGCCTCACCACCCTCTGTGTGAAGAAGTTTTGTGGCCACCAAGGAGCAGCTCTGACTAGCCTTCTCTTTTCCTCCTGTCAGGGATGCCTCCTGCTATTAAGAGCCAGCTGCTCACACCCCAGAGTCGCTCTCCAGCCAGACTCCAGGGCGACAGGGGAGGCACAGCTGGGCCAGGCTGCTGGGGAAAAAGAGCCTTCTCCCAAATGAGGCTGGGGGAAAGCCATAGAAGGCATCCCCAGAGCTCTTCCCCTTGAGTCATCGAGAAGCTTTCCTTGCACGCAGGGACTTGGTGAACTCCACAATGGGCCTGACGCATGTCCCACTGACGGCAGTTTCCTGCCTGGGCACCCAGCAGGTGAGCAAAATCTCTTGCAGCAAATCCTCCTCTGTAAGGTAGCCGGTGTGGTCCGCCTACCTGGGTTGTTAGAAGGGAAATGCTTCTGGAGATGTGACATTTTGACAATTATTGTGCCTTCTTCAGTGCCTTCTTCATGATTAAAGAGGAGCTCCCCATGGTGGGCTTTGAGCTCCTTGATGTACAGAAGCCCATCTTCCAGGTTTCAGAGACCTTTGCCAGTATTCATGGGCTCCCTTACAAGAAAGAAACTTTTCCGGGTAAGAAGAGAGATGAATGTCAGAGCTCCAATGTGCAAGGATGTGGGCTGCATGCTCAGCTGCTGCTGGGAAGGCAGTGCAGGGGTTACACAGCTCCTCCAGGAGATCCAGAGAAAAGCCTGAGTACCTCAGAAGCCAAAACCTGCCAATGCTTTGCACCTTCTGGCAGGCAGCAGCTGCCGGAAATGTCCCTCTCCATGCTGTTGGCACCCTGATGGCTGCGTTGGTGGTTGACTTCTCCTCTTGGCATCTGGCACAGCTGCAGGTGCAGAGCAGCAGCAGGGCATCAGTGCTGGAGGGCCCAGCAGCTACGCAAATGTGACTGCCCTCCTCTGCAGGCCTGTGTAGTTACTTTGCTCCTTGCTTCTTTTCTGTAAGGTGTAATTCGATTTGTTTTCCTGAATTATGCCTGGCTGTCCTTGGACACAAGGGCACATTGCAGTGCTGCATTGGGAGGGCCTTGTCCTTCTGGGTCAGACGCGTCTCCTGATGAGGCACAGGAGTCTGGCCCCTGCACAAAGCCAGGCAGTGATTTGCCGGGTGCAGGCACTTGCTGGGCAGCTTGTGCTGCTCGTAAAGGAGGGGTGAACACTAATGCCTGCAAACTCTGCCTGCGGGCTGCTTTCTGCCTGAGCAGCCGCGATGCCTCCGTTGGCAAGGGCATCCCTTCCTGGCCATGGTCTCAGCCACGACTGTCTCTCCTGCAGAGGCTAGGCACAACAGATTTGGCCACATGGGAGAGAAAAAGCATAGTCCCACATCCAGCTTCTGGAGGTGTCCTCATCTTTTCCACGTGGGCGCGTTGCTTCTGCAGCCCTCGGCTGAGCATTTTGGCAGCTTTTCAGCTCCTCTCCGGAAGGTCAGCAGTGCCAGGGCTTGCCCAGTGCTCAGGGAGGAGCTGGAGGGAGTCTTCTCCAAGCACTGTTTCCTCCTCCACTCCACACCGATTCTTGCTTGTTTTGGACGAGGGGGCATTCTCTTTGTGTAGCTAGGGCTGGGGGAATGTCTGTTGCCTGCCCAGCCCACAGCAAGCCCCTCTCGGATGCTGGCACCAAGACCAGCACCCTACAGCCCTAGGATGTGGTGCTCTGGAGTCACACTGCCTTGGTCTTTCTTCCAGGATTGGGCTCTACATACCTCATGGAAGAGCTGCAGGGAGAAGAGCCTCTCCAAGCACCCAAGGGTTTTGCTTTGGAAAAGAAGGGAGACACAACGATGGAGGGAGAGTCTACCAGAACAGGTAAGATTGACTCTCGTAAAGCTGACTCCACAAGCAGTAAGATTGTAAAGTAGGTATGTTTATGCAGCACTGGGCGGCACGGGGGGTAGTCCCACCAAAGTCGTGCGCCCCTAACACGGCAACTTGCTTTGGTTATATGCAGTAGAGATTTACATATGCATGAGGTTTCGCAGTATGCCTATACATATTCATAACCTGTCCCCGCTTAGTATTAAAATTAGTTCCAAGAAGTCATTTCCATAAGCTGCGCTTTCCATTCCCTCTGCGCTTGCGCGGTGCCTTCTGGTGGTGGGCACTGAGGGTCGTGAGGATGAAGTGAGATGTCTTCACCAGGGTTGAACTTTTCACCTCGTCTCCTTGCGCATGCTCTCTGAGGCCTTGGTCATAATCTGGGCCATAAGGTTGGTTTGGTCCAGTTCTCCGGGCCTGAGGGGCTCCTGTTATCTGGAGGCCTTGCATGTTTGACATTTTTTATCTTGTCCTTTTAAGAACAGTGCTCCTTTTCTCTGAGCCCTTGGTCACAGTCCGAACCATAAGGTTGGTTTGATCTGGTTCTTGGAGTCCCAGGGGCTTTGCCAATATTTATGGACTCCCTGAAAAGAAAGAAACTTTTCCTGGTAAGAAAGGAGATAACTTGCAGGACCCCCACGCGCGGGGACTTTGGGCTGCATGCTCAGCTGCTGCTGGGAGGCTCAGGGAGCGAGATAGGGACAGCAGTGTGACGGGATGGCACCGAGAGCACCAGGATGAGGAGAACTGGTGCTGGAGCGAGTCGGCCAGCTGGCCCCTGAGCCCCTCCGACCTGGACACAATTATTCCCAAACCTGGGGCTTCTCCATGAAGAGCCCACCCCCAGGACAGCCAAAGCCCACGTGGCCCTGGCAGTTCTGTGCCCAGAGGCACAAAGAGCAGCGTGGCCTAATTCAACCTGGCTGTGCGCAGCCAGGAGCTGCCTCCACCGTCCCTCCATGCGGACAGGCTGCCGGTGCGGTCGTGCCCAGAGAGCGTGCGTCACACTGGCAGCTGCCACACGGAGTCGGGAGCCCCAGGAGGGTTCGGTCGAACATCTTTGGCAGCCCTGGCAGCCTGCGATGAGCAGGCAGCACTCGCAGGAGGAGACAGGCAGGGCATTACCCTGGCAGGCTGAGCCCCGCTCTGCGTGGGCAGCTGCCAGGGCGTGCCGGGGGCCGCTGCAGGGCAGCTCACAGCAGCACTTCTAGGGGGGACGTGGAGGGAAATGGCAGAAATGGCCCAAATAACTTGGACTTTCTCCTCGCCTTCTCTTGCAGATGGAGAAGAAACTGCCACACCGTGGGTTGCGGGGGGCCGAGAGAATCCAGCTGCCAGCCGTGCCGGCTTTCCCAAGGCTGGCAGCGACTCTCAAGCAAGTGCCTAAAGCAGAGACATCATCATCTGAAAAGGCCACTTGCAAGCTGCCCCCTCTGCAAGCAGCAGCCTCTGCAACTTCTGCCAGAGGAAGAGCAAAGGCATTGGGTACAGAGGCCCTCAGCCACCGAGAGCTTCTGCCACCTCTTCCATGCGTCTCTGCTGAGAGGGAGAGGGCAGTGAGGGCAGAGAGGTGGGAACGTGTCCCACACAGCCCTGTGGCCCCTGCTGAGGATGTGGAGTACTCAGTACGGTCCTTCGTCTCCACAGTCATAAGAAATGCTGTAGCCGAGAGCAAGGCAAGGCTTGCTCCATCAGGCAGAGGTCCCAGGACCACAGGCCACAGAACTCCAACTCTCCCCACAGCAGTGCCCCGGCATTTGAAGAAGAGCCGGCACCCTGCCCCACACAGCCCCACCGACTCTTTTACGGTGCTGCAGGACACAGCACTGTCTGTTGTGTCTGAAGCCATGTCAAAGGCGATGGCTAAAATGCGGCAACAAGGCCAACGACCAGCAGCAATGGGGGACCCGGCACACATGGGGTGCCCAGTGACAGCAACAAGATCAGCCGGCGTCCAGACTGACATGGAGAGCAGGTGGACCGCTGCTCTGCCAGCGTTCGATTGTCGGGGAGGTGCAAGAAAACCAACTGCCAGCAGAGACCATGCACCAGCCAGCCCAGGCAGGGTTGAAAAGCAAGAGCGCGAGAGAGCCCAAAACATCAAACCCAGGCAGGGGAGCAGCAAGGAGGGGACAAGCCAGGGCCGAGGCAGGCAAGAAAGCGGTCCTGTGGGATGGGACCAAGAGGAAGAGATTGTCGTCATCAAGTCCGCGATCAACCCCAGGTTTGCCAGACTCTTCCAGGAACCACAGGCTTTTCCCCCGGAAGAAGGCAGCTCATCCAGCACCGTGGACAGGGAGGCCGCAGAAGAAGAAGCAGTAAACCCAACAAGCGCCTCTCTTGACTCATCAGAATCCACGGACACTACACTGTCAGCTGCTTCCCTGGCAGAAGGTCCTGGGGAAGAGAGGCACGGCACGCAGCTCGGCCTCTGAAGCTAAGGGCAAGAACACTTCCAGGGCAGCGGGCTTTGCAGGAGCCCTCATCCTTCACGAAGGAAAACAAGGCTCAGAAAGAGCAGGTTTTTCTCTTGGAGAGAAGCTTCGTGGCAGAGCTAAGCCGCCCTCCCGCGCCAGCCAGCTCCAATGGCAATTCCTCCGTCGTACGCAGACCTTGGCAAATCTGCCAGAGATATCTTCAATAAAGGATATGGGTTTGGGTTGGTGAAGCTGGATGTGAAAACAAAATCTGCAAGTGGAGTGGAGTTCACAACATCTGGTTCTTCGAACACCGACACTGGAAAAGTTAATGGGAGCTTGGAGACCAAATACAAGTGGGCTGAGTATGGGCTGACTTTCACAGAAAAATGGAACACAGATAACACTCTGGGAACAGAAATTGCAATTGAAGATCAGATTGCCAGAGGCTTGAAGTTGACGTTTGATACAACTTTCTCACCAAATACAGGAAAGAAGAGTGGTAAAATCAAGTCAGCATATAAACATGAATGCCTAAACCTCGGTTGTGATGTTGACTTTGACTTTGCTGGGCCTGCAATCCATGGTTCAGCTGTCTTCGGTTATGAAGGCTGGCTGGCTGGTTATCAGATGACTTTTGATAGTGCCAAATCAAAATTGACAAGGAACAACTTCTCTGTGTGTTACAAGACTGGAGACTTCCAACTGCACACTAATGTCAATGATGGTTCTGAATTTGGTGGGTCAATTTACCAGAAAGTGAGTGACAATCTTGAAACTGCTGTAAACCTGTCCTGGACAACAGGTAGCAACAGCACTCGCTTCGGTATTGCAGCTAAATACAAGTTGGATTCCACTGCTTCTATCTCTGCAAAAGTGAACAATTCTAGTCTAGTTGGAGTGGGTTACACCCAGACCCTGAGGCCAGGTGTGAAGCTTACTCTGTCTGCCCTGATAGATGGGAAGAGCATCAATGCTGGTGGCCATAAACTTGGTCTTGGCCTGGAATTGGAGGCTTAAAAAGGTGAAGAAACTGCTGCAGAGAAGGGATATCAGAAGAATTTGGCCTTAAAATGTATTTCCAATGTGACCAGCAGGCTTTTTTTCCCAAGAAGGATGACCTAGAACAAGAGCTGTATTTGAAGTATTTAGACAGTTACTTGTTAGCTGGTTTCTAGTTAAATTGGTTACCCATCTAGTTACAATTCTGCATTAGTGCAGTCACTTAAACATTATTTAAATGTATTTAACTGTTGAATGCGCTACCCACAAATAATGAAATAGACATTTATGAAAACTGTAAAAAGAATAATTACCCAGTACCCAGAACTGGTGGAAGGGGACGGGGAGCAGGATGTGGCCCTCACCATCCACGAAGAACTGGTTGGTGACCTGGTACGGCACTTGGATGTGCACAAGTCGATGGGGCCGGATGGGATCCACCCAAGGGTACTGAGAGAACTGGCAGAGGAGCTGGCCAAGCCCCTATCCATCATTTATCTGCAGTCCTGGCTATCGGGGGAGGTCCCAACTGACTGGCGACTAGCAAACGTGACGCCCATCTACAAGAAGGGCCGGAGGGCTGACCCAGGGAACTACAGGCCGGTCAGTTTGACCTCAGTACCAGGGAAGCTCATGGAGCAGATCCTCTTGGGAGTCATCATGCGGCACTTGAAGGGCAAGCAGGCGATCAGGCCCAGTCAGCATGGGTTTATGGTAGGCAGGTCCTGCTTGACGAACCTGATCTCCTTCTACGACAAAGTGACGCGCTGGGTGGATGAGGGAAAGGCTGTGGATGTGGTCTACCTTGACTTCAGCAAGGCTTTTGACACCGTCTCCCACAGCATTCTCCTCAAGAAACTGGCTGCTCTTGGCTTGGACTGGCGCATGCTTCGTTGGGTTAGAAACTGGCTGGATAGCCGGGCCCAAAGAGTTGTGGTAAATGGAGCCAAGTCCAGTTGGAGGCCAGTCACTAGTGGCGTCCCCCAGGGCTCGGTGCTGGGGCCGGTCCTCTTTAACATCTTCATCAATGATCTGGATGACGGCATTGAGTGCACCCTCAGTAAGTTTGCAGATGACACCAAGCTAGGTGCGTGTGTCGATCTGCTTGAGGGTAGGAAGTCTCTGCAGGAGGATCTGGATAGGCTGCACCGATGGGCTGAGGTCAACTGTATGAAGTTCAACAAGGCCAAGTGCCGGGTCCTGCACCTGGGGCGCAATAACCCCAAGCAGAACTACAGGCTGGGAGAGGAATGGTTGGAGAGCTGCCAGGCAGAGAAGGACCTGGGAGTGATGGTGGACAGTCAGCTGAATATGAGCCAGCAGTGTGCTCAGGTGGCCAAGAAGGCCAACTGCATCCTGGCTTGTATCAGAAACACTGTGACCAGCAGGGCTAGGGAGGTGATCGTCCCCCTGTACTCGGCTCTGGTGAGGCCGCACCTCGAGTACTGTGTTCAGTTTTGGGCCCCTCGCTACAAGAAGGACATCGGAGGTGCTTGAGCGGGTCCAAAGAAGGGCGACAAAGCTGGTGAGGGGCCTGGAGAACAAGTCCTATGAGGAGCGGCTGAAGGAGCTGGGCTTGTTCAGCCTAGAGAAGAGGAGGCTCAGGGGTGACCTTATTGCTCTGTATAAGTACATTAAAGGAGGCTGTAGCGAGGTGGGGGTTGGCCTGTTCTCCCATGTGCCTGGTGACAGGACGAGGGGGAATGGGCTAAAGTTACACCAGGGGAGTTTTAGGTTAGATGTTAGGAAGAATTTCTTTACTGAAAGGGTTGTTAGGCACTGGAACGGGCTGCCCAGGGAGGTGGTGGAGTCACCATCCCTGGAAGTCTTCAAAAGACGTTTAGATGTAGAACTTAGGGATATGGTTTAATGGGTACTGTTAGTGTTAGGTTAGAGGTTGGACTCGATGATCTTGAGGTCTCTTCCAACCTAGAGATTCTGTGATAGCATGGAGCAGCAGAATAAGGATGACTCCCAGCCCGCTGAAGGGCAGCGGAGCGTAAAGGAGCGGCGCCAGGTGAGGCTCAGGGAGCGAGACAGGGACAGCAGTGTGACGGGATGGCACCGAGAGCACCAGGATGAGGAGAACGGTGCTGGAGCGAGCCGGCCAGCTGGCCCTGAGCCCCTCCGGCCTGGACACAGTTGTTCCCAAACCTGGGGTTTCTCCATGAAGAGCCCACCCCCAGGACAGCCAAAGCCCACGTGGCCCTGGCAGTTCTGTGCCCAGAGGCACAAAGAGCAGCGTGGCCTAATTCAACCTGGCTGTGCGCAGCCAGGAGCTGCCTCCACCGTCCCTCCATGCGGACAGGCTGCCGGTGCGGTCGTGCCCAGAGAGCGTGCGTCACACTGGCAGCTGCCACACGGAGTCGGGAGCCCCAGGAGGGTTCGGTCGAACATCTTTGGCAGCCCTGGCAGCCTGCGATGAGCAGGCAGCACTCGCAGGAGGAGACAGGCAGGGCATTACCCTGGCAGGCTGAGCCCCGCTCTGCGTGGGCAGCTGCCAGGGCGTGCCGGGGGCCGCTGCAGGGCAGCTCACAGCAGCACTTCTAGGGGGGACACGGAGCAGAATGGCAGAAATGGCCCAAATAACTTGGCCTTTCTTCTCGCTTCTCTTGCAGATGGAGAAGAAGCCGCAAGACATCAAGACACTGCCTCACTGTGGGGTGAGGCAGGCCGAGAGAATCCAGCTGCCAGCCCTGCCGCCTTTGCCAAGGCAGGCAGCGACTCAGGCAGCAGCACCCAAGCAAGTGCCTGCGGCACAGGCATCATCGTCTGAAAGGGCCACTTGCAAGCTGCCCCCTCTGCAAGCAGCAGCCTCTGCTTCTTCAGGGGGAGGAAGGGCAAAGTCATTGGGAACAGAGGCCCGCAGCCAGCAAGAGCTTTTGCCACCTCTTCCCTGCATCTCTGGCAACAGGGACAGAGCAGTGAGGGCAGAGAGGCGGGAACGTGGCCCACACAGCCCTGTGGCCCCTGACGAGGACGTGGGCAATGAAATACGGTCCTTTGTGTCCACCGTCATAACAAATGCTCTGCTCATTTGCAAACGATCAGCAGCACTTGGGGACCTGGCACAAACGGGGTGCAAATTGAGAGCAACAAGTTCAGCCTGGGTCCAGACAGACCTGGAGAGGACGTGGACGACTTCTCTGCCAGGGCCTGATTCCCGGGTATGCGCAGGAGCAAGGGCTTCCAGCAGAGACCCTGCAGCAGCTAGCCCAGGCCAGGGTAAGAAGAAAAAACAACAGAGAGAGAAACACATCAAACCCAGGCAGGGGACAGGAAACGAGGGGACAAGCCAAGGCCGGGGCAAGAAAGAGAGCAGTCCCGGGGGATGCGATGAAGAGGAGGAGATCGTCATCATCAACTCCTGGATCAACCCCAGGTTCGCCAGCCTCTTCACAGAGGCACAGGACGTTCCCCAGGAAGAGGGCAGCGCAGCCAGCAGTGTGGACAGGGAGGCAGCACAAGAAGCAAAACACTCAGCAAGCGCCTCTCCTGGCTCGCTGCAAACCATGGACACTGTCCCATCAGCTGCTCCCCAGGAAGAAATTCCTGGGGAAGAGAGGCACAGCACGCCTCTCACTTCAACAACAGCAGCACAGAGCAGGCCAGCAAGTCCTCCAGCAGCCCCTGCTCTGGAAGATGAGGGACACAGGACGCCTCCCCTGACACGTGGGGCTCCACAGTCAAAACCAGCAGCCTCTCCAAGCCCCAGTGAGCACAGCACTGCAGTGACGGTTGAGAGCCAGGGACGTGCCCGACATGCCTCCAGTGCCTGTGATGACGAGCTGGATGAAGGAGTCAAGACCATCGTTTCCACAGTCATACGCCGTGCTGTAGCCATGAGCCAGGGAGCCCCAAGCAAGGCACCAAGTGCTCCCTCGGCCACAGGACCCAGCGTGCCTCCTCCCACAGCAGAGCCTGCAGACTCTACATCCTCAGCATCTGCCTTGGCTGGAGCACTGGGGGACCTGGCACACACGGGGAGCACAGGGAGAGCAACGAGATCAGCCGGGGTCCAGACAGACCTGGAGAGGAGGCGGACCACTGCTCTGCCAGGACCTGATTCCGGGATATGCGCAGGAGCAAGGGCTTCCAGCAGAGACCCTGCAGCAGCTAGCCCAGGCCAGGGTAAGAAGAAAAAACAACAGAGAGAGAAACACATCAAACCCAGGCAGGGGACAGGAAACGAGGGGACAAGCCAAGGCCGGGGCAAGAAAGAGAGCAGTCCCGGGGGATGCGATGAAGAGGAGGAGATCGTCATCATCAACTCCTGGATCAACCCCAGGTTCGCCAGCCTCTTCACAGAGGCACAGGACGTTCCCCAGGAAGAGGGCAGCGCAGCCAGCAGTGTGGAAAGGGAGGCAGCACAAGAAGCAGAACACCCAGCAAGCGCCTCTCCTGGCTCGCTGCAAACCACGGACACTGCCCCATCAGCTGCTCCCCAGGAAGAAATTCCTGGGGAAGAGAGGCACAGCACGCCTCTCACCACAACAACACCGGCACAGAGCAGGCCAGCAAGTCCTCCAGCAGCCCCTGCTCTGGAAGATGAGGGACACAGAGCGCCTCCCCTGACATGTGGGGCTCAACAGTCGAAGCCATCAGCCCGTGCAAGCCCCAGTGAGCACAGCGCTGCCGTGATGGTGGAGAGCCAGGGACGTGCCCGACATGCCTGCAGTGTCTCTGATGAAGAGCTGGATGAAAGAGTTGACACCATCGTGGCTGCAGTCCTACTCCACTCTGTAGCCATCATCCAGGGAGTGGGAGCCCCAAGCAAGGCAGCAAGTGCTCCCTGGGTCACAGTGCCCAGGGTGCCTCCTCCCACACCAGAGCCTGCAGAATGTACATCCTCGGCCTCTGCCTTGGCCAGAGGCCCTGTGGGGGAGGCCAGTGAAGCCCCTCTCGCTGCAGCAGCAACGCCACAAGAAGAAGGTGGAGAAGGGGCTTCTCCTTTGGCTGCAGAGCCTCTCCGGGAGGCCATCACAGATCTCCGCCCAGCAGCAGCTGACAAAGCAGGAGCAGCAGCCACTCCCTTGGTTCCTGGGCACCAGGTAAGCACAGCACACGTGGTGGGCACCAGGCATCCAGGGCAGCCCCAGGCAGAAGCAGTGCATTGGGTGTGCGTGCCGGGAAGCTGCTTGCTGCTCTGCGTTTCCACATGCCCCAGGCACAAGGGCTGACATCCCTTTCCTCAGCTGCCTGTGCTGTTCCTCTCCCCATGCAGGTGGCCATCGAGCAGGGAGGCCAAGCACAGTCCTCCTCCTGCACCAAAGATATGCCAGCGGATGAGCCAGCAACGTCCCAGACACAAGCGCCGTCCCAGGATCTGTTGGCCGGGCCTGTTCAGCGCAGCGAGCAGCAGCAAGCACAAGGTTGGCAGCACCACGCGCAGGGGGGCTGGCTGGTCCTGGGCCACCCCTCCCCGGGGAAAGGCCTTGGAGGGGGGGACAGGCTCGCCCAGCACCCGCTCAGGCCCTAACCTACACCTCTGTGTCCCCCACAGGCATCCTTGACCTCGCACAAGCCCCGGCGCGCCAGCCACGGCCCTCCCGCATCAGGAGGGCACTTCGTGCTCTGCGCAGGGCTTTCCGCTGCAGCTGCATCGCAGGACAGCGAGAGTAGCCGCGCCCGGCTGTGCCAGTCCCAGGAGGATGCTCGGAGCTGGCAGCTGGCCCTCAGGAAGCTTTGCAGCGCCCACGGAAGCATCACTGCGAGGCACAGGACAGCGCCCCAGGAATTCAGATGCCCCACCACATCCTGCCCCCAGCCTCAGCTCAGCTGCGGCTGCTTTCTGCTTTCTGCTCTGAATAAAAGCTCAGGCAGACTTTTGCCCCCAGTGCTCCTCTCTGTGCCATTGATCTCAGGAGAAAGAGCTGGTGCAGGCCATGCCAACCCGGGGCCTCTCACAGTCAGAGAAGTACAGAATCATAGAATCTACCACTGAACCGTGTCCCTCGGCACCAGATCTACACGGCTTTCGAATGCCTCCAGGGATGGTGACTCAACTACTTCCCTGGGCAGCCTGTTCCAATGCTTCACAACCCTTTTGTTGAAGACTTTTTGCCTAAACCTAAACCTAAATCCACCTAAACCTCCCGCGGCCCCACTTTTTCCTCTTCTCCTACCGCCTGTTGCTTGGGAGATGGGACTGACCCCCACCGCACTACAACCTTCTCTGAGGTCCTTGTACACAGTGATAAGGTCTCCCCCAAGCCTCCTTTCCTCTAGGCTACATAACCCCAGCTCCCTCAGCACTCCTCACACGACTTGCTCCCTGGGCCCTTCGGCTGCTCCTTTCCCCTTCCTTGGACATGCTTCAGGACCTCCACGTCCTTCCTGCAGTGAGGGCCCCAAAACTGAACAGGGTATTCATGGCGCGACCTCACCAGAGCTGAGTACAGGGGGAGAATCAGGTTCACAAACCACGTGATGCTTACTACTACGCCATATATGTACAATTTTATTTGACCAACCTTTATTTTCCCCTTTTCCTTTTTTTTTTTTTAATTATTTTTTTCTTCATCTCTCGTGACCAGAATGCCCGTGATTTATTTATTTATTTATTTGTTTGTTACTGATTTTTGCCCTGTTTCTCCTGCTTTTCTTAGCTATCCTCCTCATTTTGCGACTGTGGGACATTCCCCTTATCTGCTTAAAATACTTCACCTGGTATGCTACTGCCATGCCCGCACAATCCCTTTTGAAAATGCAAGGTTAGTGGAATTTTCCACTGCAAGAACCTGACGTGCTGTCTGCAGCCTGCAAGCTCTCCTGACGTGCTGTCAGCAGCCTGCAAACACACAAGGGGAGGAAGTGCTGCAACAGCCGTTGCTCACCAAGCAGCTGCCCGGCAAGGAAAAGACAGTCAGTAGGACATGTGTCAGGACACTTTTCCTGCCGATGCGGCCAAATTCACCTGAGAAAGAAACAGGAAAAGTCTCTTTCTTTCTTATGTGGGACTCCGGGAAGACAGGCAAAGTTCTCCGAGAGCTGAAAAGTGGGCTTCTTTACCTGGAGGAGCTCAAAGCAAAAAACAAGAGCAGCCCCACTTTAATAAGGAAGGAGGCACCCAGCCCAGGTACTAAGACACGCTGAAAAGCACGAAAGGAGGAACAGTATTTAAGCATTTCTGGCACTGGAAATGCAGCGCGGGGCTTCCCCAACAAAGAAGATGGGCCCTTGTGCTTTGGCCACTGCTCATGGGAAGGTGCCAGATGGCGTCACTGCGGAGAGCCCTGGAGATGGCCTCAGTGTCTGGGAGCTTCCCAGCTCCCTCCTTTTTGCCCCCTACAGAAGAGCTGGGCTAGGAAGAGCACAGCCAACACCCTCAGCTCAGGAAAAACCCTCCACGGGGTTCCCAACTAATAGGGAAAGCCTTGAGAACCGGCTCCGGCTACATGCTGGCTTGCCCACTCGGGCCACAGGCAACGCACAAGCGCCAGGCAGTACGCATCCCGTCCTTCTGCTGGAGCTGGGCTCTTCTGTTGTGCATATTGCCAGAGCAGCAAGGGGCCCCTGGCACACCTGCACTTTGCAGGCTACCGCTGGGGCGTTTCTTCTGCTTGAGGAGGCGGGCTGTGGGGTGGCAGCTGCAGGAGGGAGCAGGCTACGAGGGCAGGACGAGGCTGCAAAGCCCACCTTGTTCAGTGCGAACTGCCTGTGCACGTGGTGGGGTATTGCATCCCCAACGTGCCCAGCCCCTGGAAAGCAAATGCCCCAAATCCCCTTTCAGCCGTGCCCTGGGGACGGCAACAAGGCCGCCAATGCCATGCTGCAGGCTGGCACGGCCTGCAGATGCCAGGCTGCCAAGCCCAACGTGCGGCCGCCACGCAGGCGCCAGCTGCCAGAGGCTGCAGGAAGGTTCCAGAAGCTGCGGCAGCAGCCCGCGCAGGGGCAGCCGCGAGTGCAGGAGCCGCTCCTGGGCTCTGGGCTCAGGGGCAGACGCCTGCCCCTGCAGGGCATAAGGCAAACCCAGAGCCCAAAACCAACCCCAAGGGTACTGCATCCCCAACTTTCCTAGGCCCTGGAAGCAAATCCCCTAAAAGCGGAGCAGTGGCGACGTGAGCAGAGCCCCTGAGGCAACCGCGACTGTCTGAAAGGCAGGCATCAAGAATGCGGACATGTCAGAGAAGAAGCAGCAAGATGCTGTTGATGGTGCCACTCAGGCCTCCCTGCCCACGCTGCTGGATGAGCTGCCCTATGTGAGAAACACTCCGTAGCCAATAACTTAGGCTCAGGCGAGGATCTCAGTGAAGTAGTAATTTATTTGCGATTGCAATGGCGGGCGCCCCACAAGCAGGAGAGCGTGCCTACTAGTTCCAAAACACAGTTTATATACCTTTTGGTGACAGGACCCTCCCCTGTTTCCCCACTGAGTGAGTAATCCAGGTTCACAATCTATCTGATGCTTCACAAACAACGCATGGCCTTTGGTTGCCGGCCTGTTAAATTTCAAATTTCTTTTGACGTTTTTACTGCTTGAAGGGGTAATGTTTCTTCCCTTATCTGACTTGACTTAAGACTGCAATTTTCACCTAATATTGTCCTAAGGAGTCTGGTTGTCTGCATTTTACAAGGTCGCCTGCTAAGCTTTCTCATCACTGTAAGCATATCTCAGTACCACATTCCTTCCCTCTAAACAATGTAACTCTGCAAAAACAACATTTCTATTCCCACAATTCCCCCCTTTTCTTCTTCATAAACTGTTGATTTTTGCAAAACCTTTCTCTAAGGTGTAATTTGGTAGATTTCTTCTTCTTTGCTTTCTTTGCTTTCCATCTCCTCATTATCACCTTATCTGAGTAAGGTGGTGGCTCCATGGTCATTTGTTTCAGTAGTGCGGTTTCAGTTAACCACTGTACTAGTCCTCTTACACAGGGGATAATGCAGCAACCAATGGCTGTCAAAACTCCTACTACAACTGCAATCAAGGATGTAAATATGCCTACTTTTTCTGCCAATTCACTGGCAAGGGTGGTAAGCCTTTGAAGTGCTTTGAAGTGAGGCAGGATGCCATGGAGTATGAAATTCCCATTTTATTCCCAAGGCTTTTCCAAGTTTCCACTTGACCAAGGCCTCCTCTGAGAGGTACACAATTAATAGTTGATTCTTCCCTATCATCGTTTTTTAACCTTAGGCTTCCAAATAATTATTAATACAAAGAATAAGATGTACACTACTACTATAATAAACTCCTCTTGGGAGCACTTCAATTTGTTATAGGTCTGTCCTTTTTAGTTACCTGTGAAAATAAAGGGTTAGTTTACAACGGTAAGCTTTTATCCTGCTCAGAGTCTGTTCCGAGATTTTTCTTTTTGATTTTAACTTTCAACAAGTCGTCTGTAGGAACAACTTCCCAGGCGCTAGGGTCGGTAGATGCTTTCACTCGAGTGTAGTGAGTCCAACCTTTTTCCGCAGCTCTTACAGCTGTTTCAGTGCTTAGCAGTACTTGGAATGGTCCTTCCCATTCAGGCCGAAGTTTTGATTCTTTCCAGGTGCGTATCAGGACCCTATCTCCTGCATGGAATGAATGTACTGGGAATTCCAAAGGCGGAGTTTGAGCCAACAGTCCACGAACCCTGAGAGATGCTAAGGAAGAAGATAATCCAGGCATATAATTTTTGAGGAAAATATCTTTAGTTTCAAAAATAGGTATCTCACCGTTTCTACCCAGGTACGGTAGTCCAAACAACATCTCATATGGTGAAACTCCTACATCTTTTCTAGAAGCAGTTTGAATTCTGAGAAGTGCTAAAGGTAAACACTTTGTCCAGGGAAACTTAGTCTCTAAAACCAGCTTTGACAGATGTTTCTTTAATGTCTGATTCATTCGCTCCACTTTCCCTGATGAGGAAGGATGCCATGGAGTATGAAATTCCCATTTTATTCCCAAGGCTCCCATGAATCCTTGTAAAATAGATGAAGGGAAATGACTTCCTTGATCTGAATCTGTATTTTCAACAATCCCATATCTAGGGATTATTTGTTCCAGGATTACCTTTATCACCACACTAGCTGTTGCTGATGCTGAAGGAAAAGCTTCTACCCATCCTGACAAATGGTAGTAACAGACTTTCCAAAATCTGTCTAATTAATTCTTCATGAACCAATTCCTTTCCCTTCCTGTTTACTAAGCCCTTTTCTTCCCATATTTTTCCAAATGCATGTACCACCCCATATGCATATTGTGAGTCAGTATATATAGTTCCCTGTTTCCCTTTTAATTATTTTAATGCTTGATTTAATGCATATAATTCACAGGTTTGAGCTGACCAATTGCTAGGCAGTCTTCCCATTTCTTCGACATTCCCATCCGTTCCTTCAATGATGCAATAACCATTACATCTCTTTCCTTGTACCACCTTAGAAGATCCATCTATAAACAATATTTCCCCTTCCTCTAAGGGCACCTCTTGCAAATCTAATCTTACCTTTGTCTGGTAATTTATTAAATGTAAGCAGTTATGTTCCGTATTTATTGGATCCTCAATTCCCTTTGACAAGAAGGAGGCAGGATTCAAAACAGACTCTGTAGTTACAGTTAAATCATCCTTTTCAATTAGTATAGCTTCATATTTTAGTATTCTGGAGTCTGTCAGCCACCTTCCTGCTTTCTGAGTGAGAATAGCCTTCACTTGGTGAGGGGTAGCAACAATCAGTTGTCCTCCAAAGGTGAATTTCCTGCTCTCTTCTACTAATAAGGCAGTTGCTGCTACTGCCTGAACGCATTCTGGCCATCCCTGGGATACAGGGTCTAATAATTTAGACAAAGATGCTACAGGTTTCTTTTTATCTCCCTGTTATAAATGGCTTAAGTTTATGGAACACTCTCTGTACA